CTTTCTTGCAGACATGTGTCTGCTGACCCTGGAGTCCGGTAAGAGGGTACATCCCACATCTTGCTGTTTTCTGAGCCAGTCTCCCTGAACTGTATCCTGAGTTTGTCTTGCCGTGGTTTTCTGGTGAGCAGTGCCTGCAGGACAGAATTTTTTTGGCTGCTTTCTTTGTGCGTGTACAGTGAGCCTGTGCCCCTCAGTCCTGTGTCTAGCAGAATTGTGTTTTGTTGCTCTCTCCAAACTTTTTAAGCTTGTTCCTTCGGCAGCATCCTTGGCCTGCGGAGGCCCTGTCTGTTTTTGCTTTGGCTCTGGGCTCTGGGTCCCTGGTACATCCTTACAGGCTCTCTGAGCACCCATTGCCAGGATCCTTCGCACACAGAAAAGATGTTCAGCCCTTTCCAACCCCTACCCCTGCATGTGCACACAGCCTGGGGTGAGGATGTCAGGTCCTCAGCCTCCATACTCTAAGGCACTGGCACTCTCCCAGGCCACACTCTTGAGTGTAGGGAGGAGCTAGGATTACTGCAAAGGACAAAATGAAGGTGGGGGCCTTATCTTGCTGGGTTTTTATTCAGATCAGCCAAAGACTTGGGGTTCACCCTGTCTTCTCTTCCCCAGTGGTTCATTTCTTTGGATTAGATGTCTCTTGGAACCTGCCATCTCCTTGGCACTTTTTTGGCTCCCTTTATTTTCGATAGATTTTTATGTATTAATATTGTTGCTGTGTGTGATGTGTGTGTGTGTGTGTGTGAGTGTGGGTGTGTGAATGCCATGGCGTGGGTATGGCAGTCAGAGGTCTACACGTGGGAGTTGATTCTTTCCTTTTACTGCAGGCTCTGGGTACCAGACTCTGGCTGTCATGCTTGTGCAGCCCATGCTTCTGCCTACTGACCCATCTAGCCAGCATTCTCTTGGCGTCTTATTTTTGTTTTGTTTTCTTTTTTTGAGGCAGGGTCTCTATAGGTACCTATGTCTGTCCTGGAACTCACTTTGTAGGCCAGGCTGGCTTCAAACTCAGAGATTCACCTGCCTCTGCCTTCTGAGTGCTGGGATTAAAGGTGTGCTCCACTACTCCTGTTCCCCTTCTCTTGGCTTCTTGAGTGAAGCTGTTGTACCTTGTCCAATGATGGAAGAGGAGGTGCCAGCTGGGGGTTCTAACAGAGTGCTGCACAGGAAGGATGGTGTGTTGGGCCAAGTTTTGGTCTCCAGTCCTGACTCTGGGGATCCTTTGGGTTCAAGTCACTGTCTGCGCCTGGTATATTAGCCACCAGGCAACATGACTTCAGGGTCCCTGAGTGTTGGACATTTGACAGAGGAGGCTAATGGGGAAGACAGAGGAGGCAGGTGTAGTCCATGCTTGATCTAATCCTCATTTATGAGCCTGGGGGGCCTGACCAGGAGCCTGGAGCCTGGCTGCGTGCCTAGGTCTCCCCTACTACATGGGAAAGGGCCCTCAGTCCCTCTTTGAGTAGACACACCCTTGGCAGATCTTATAGACTCATCAGAACTCTGAGCCGATCTTTGACCTAGACAGTGATTTTCAACATGTGGGTCATGACTCCCACAGCAAACCTCTATCTCCAAAAATATTTACCATTCTTAACAGTAGCAAAATTACAGCTATGAAATAGCAATGAAAATAATTTTATGGCTGGGGTCACCGCAACATGAGGAACTGTATTAAAAGGTCACAGCGTTAGGAAGGGTGAGAACCACTGTCCTAGGACCGTTCTCTACTTCAGCGCCACCTGTGGTCTGGCCTTACTTCTGCTACAGACAGAAACCTGTGTATTCAGATCTGCACCCTGTCCCTCACATTTGCCCAATGGAACCACTGGTTATTTGTGTCTGGGGATGTGTCCATTTCTGGGAAGGGCTGTTGTTAGGGATTATATGGTGTAGCAGTTCCAAGGACTTTTCAAACAGAACATGTTTGGGCCAGACCTGACTTTGCACTGGCAGTGGTTTCAAAACAAATAAATAACATTTCATGCTAAACCTAGATGCCACTGGGTTCGTGAGCTCTGACCCATGACTGCTGGCCACATCTGTTTCAAACCTTCCTCTCCCACCCCACCCTGGAGCAGGCAGGCACTGGGTCTGTAGCCGACTTCTCGGCACTAGGGAGCCTGAGAGTAGCAATTTCAAGGACCTTAAGATAATGGTCCTGTGGGTTCCCATGCATCCTTTCATCCCAGGAACTTATCACCCCCCAGTATCATTTGATCACAGCCTGAAGTGTGTTTCAACCCCATCATTAGTTCTGCCTCCCAGCCATGCGCACTGTGGTCCTGGGAGAGAAGTGGGCAGTTGATCATGGAACTAGACTGGACCTCCCGAGCTTCCAAGGCCTGCATCCTGGTCAGGAGAGCAGGAAGAATTCTGATGGGTAGAAGGCTGCAGTCTGAATAGCTTGTAGATTGTACCAGTGTGAGGATCGAGGGGTTCCAGATTACTGTGGTTGGGGACCTCATGCAGAATTTCAAGACACAGGACTCCCTTCTTTTTGTTATCCAAAGCCAAGCCTCAGGCACCAGTCCACACGGAGGACACACACACACACACACACACACACACACACACACACACACACACACACACACACACGAACAACTGGGACAGTGACAGGGTGTCTCACTGTGCCCGAGGAATAGCTGAAGGACTCTGGGCTTCAGATCTGGAAAAGACAGTCCACAGCTGGCAGGACCAAATCAGGCCAATGAAAGTTACCAACAGCCCATTTAGATGGAGCATCAAATAGCTATTCAAAAGAGAAAGTGTTTTCATTCAGGAAGTGAACTTCCCTTACTGGAGGTGACAGAGCCGAGGGAGGGGATTGCTAGGCAATGGCCATTGGCCTTATGTAGGCAAGCACAGGGGCCTGGCCCTGCTCTTCTGGCCTCTCAGCCTGTGTCCCCAGGTAGATGGACTCTTGTGGCTGTCTGAGGCTCCAGGGAGACTCAGAAATTTTGCTGTGTCTGGGAATTGATGGGCATGGCTGTCTTTGAGGATGACTTAAGGGATTTTTGTTTGCTTGGTTGATTTATACACGCCCCCCCCCGTGTGTGTGTGTGTGTGTGTGTGTGTGTGTGTGTGCTCGCGCGCGCGCTTGCTCTTATGTGCACAAATGTGGGAGTAAATGTACCAAGACACACGTGTAGAGGTCTGAAGACAACCTTGGATGTTGGTCCTTGATTGCTGTAGTCATCTGAGAGGAGGGACCCTCGACTGAGAAAATGCCTCCATCAAATTGGGCTGCAGACAAACTTGTAGGGCATTTTCTTAATTAATGATTGATGGGGAGAGACAACCTATTGTGGGAGGGGCCACCCCTGGGCTGGTAGTCCTGAGTTCTATAAGAAAGCAGGCTGAGCAAGTCAGCCTGTGAGCAGCACCCCCAGATTCCTGCCTTGGCTTCCTTCAGTGATGGGCTACAATGTGGAACCATAAGCCCAATGCCCCCTCCCCAAGCTGCCTTCAGTCATGGTGTTTCATCACAGCTAAGACATTTGTTGTCTTCCAATGCATACACCAGCGTAGCTGGCCCTAGGGCTTCTGGAGATTCTGCCTCTACCTCCTGTCTCCCATAGGAGCATGGTGAGTACTATGCACTACTGTGCCAGGTTTATGTGGGTTCTGGGGTTCTGAACTCAGGTTCTAACACTTGCACATAAGTGACTAACCTGAAACCTCATTTTATTTTTCTTTTATTTAAATAAAAAGGAAGAAGTCAGAAACAAGCAACCACCCCACTCAGGTCTGCATTCTTTGCCTGCTTCCCAACCCAGGTCCATTATCATCTTTCTATATTTCCCTCCCTATCTTTGATTTCTTCCTGTCTTCCATTCCTTTTATCTCATCTGTCTGTCTGTCTGTCTTTGTTGTATGGAAATTGGACCCAGGAGCTTGCGTGTGTGCTAGTTGAACACTCTAGCGCTGAGCTGCACAGGCCATTTTGTGTGTGTGACATGACCTTGTTATGTTGCTGTGTCTTGCCTCGAACTGGAGATCCACCTGCCTCTATCTCCTGAGTGTTGTAATTTTAGTTATAAAAATGTTGTTGCTCATGGATGTATTTATATTGTTAAAACAACAAGAGTTGGAAAACAACATAAATTGGAATTCTTAACTACTTCCATCCAGTCCCCATTCTCTTCCCTCCAGGCAATTCTGCTTTTAGTTTGGTGTCCTTTTTAGACATGTATGCACACACACCAGGTGTTTTGTCTCCAATTTTTCTCCTTTAAAAACTGGAGCAATGGTTAAGAGTACTTGTTGTTCTTTCAGAGGACCTAGATTCAGTTCCCAGCACCCACATGGTGTCTCACAATCATCCCCAAATCTAGTTCTAGGAGATCGGATGCTCTTTTTTGACCTTTGGGGCCACCAGACATGAACAAGAAGCACATAAATACTTGCGGGCAAAACACTCACACACATAAAGTAATCTGAAAAACAAAACCAAAAACAATCCTTGCCAATAATATCCCCATGCCAGGCCACATAGAACCAGTCCATGCCATCCCCCAGTACAGCTGTAGATGATTTTATAGGCAAATTTCCTTTTGTTCAGCAGCCCTGTGTGCATATATGGGTAGTTTGTCTCTGGTAGGCAGGCACCTTATTGAGGGGACGCACATATAAATTCCAGTGTATGTTACCAGCAAAGGCAACTGGCCCTCCTTGTGGCAGAGTATTATAACAGTGTCTTGTGTCTTACCCCTTTGCCAATATGTACACTGTCCACTGTCTGCCCGAGCTGCCTCCCTGTGCGAGGGTGAGCTCCCCATCATCAGAATGGCATCCATCAGGCTGGAGCCACTGCAGAAGGGACTCCTGATAAGGAGAGGAGACAGAACCAGGTGGCTTTGGAGGCCCCTTCCAACCAGAGATGACGCGTGCCTTTGGATGGCCTCTCCTGAACGGAAGAGCTCCTTTTCCACCATTGTTCAGTTTCCCCAACAAGGAGCAGAGGTAAAGGTGTTTCTTTTATTGTTTCTTAGGTCAGCTGAAGCTGTTCATCAGTGCCCAGGACCGGGTTCTGCTGCTGCACAGTGAGTATGGCTATGTGCAGGCTCACCAGGGAGGAGAGGGATGGTCCCCTCTTGCCTGGAGCTGGGCAGGGCATGGTGTCACCATGGTGTCTTTTCTGCTCTTATCACATTTTGTCATTTGTCCACTGGCAAAGTGGGTGCTCACTTGGATTGCTTTCTGTAGACCTAGTGTCCTCACTCTGAAGTCTGGCGTTTGTCGTCAAGGCCTGTATTCTCAGCAGGCTGCAGCTGTCTGTGGACATCCCATAGTCACACTTGGGCCCGGCCCAGCAGGGAATGCGAAAAACCCTTCCTAGCTTCCGTGATGCCTTTTTTTTTTAAATCCTCATTGTTTTGTTTATTCACACAATGATGGGCAGCATAATGTTATGGTTAAGGTCTTTGGAGCCAAGCCACTAGAATCTGAGTCCTGACTCTGATGCTTTGCTTACTAAGTAAACCTGAGCAAACTCAGTTTTCCCTTCATACAGTGCTGGAAATAACAACCATCTCACTCATGGGCTGTTTCAAGGGTTAAATGAGTTATAATTGGTAAAGCACCCAGCACACAGTAGAGGTGTCCTGTAAGATAAAATGGAAAGCCATAAACTGCAAAGTTAGTGGCTGAGCATTGCCCCTGCACTAGGTAGGGACTGTGGACACCAAGGAGAAGTATCTCCCTGTGTCTAAGAGGTGCTGTGGGTGCCAGGGAGGACTTGACTCGCCCGCTTAATCCTTTTGTCCTTTCTTCCACTTAGCATATGAGTATTTCTAAGCTTCTGATGTGATCCTTGCTGTCTGAACTCTTCAGCTTAGCTTGGAAGGCCCCACCTGCCTCTCTAGGCTTCCTGGCTCTTGTGCAAGACACTCTCCGTCCCATTCTGTCTACAGTGTGTCTCAGTCCTCAGCATCGCCTTAGCTTGTCAGTGCTCTCTGCCTTGGCACGGGAACTACGGTTCCTTGTGTCTTTTATTGAACTCCCTCCTCAAATAAACCTTTCCTCCCTCCGATTTTGCAAGAACTGTGCCTACTCAGGACACCAGTGAGCCTCAGGAAGGAAGGTTGGATTTGCTCCAACCCCAGGAGTGACCCCTTGTCCTTTCCCAACTCCGGGGCTGTTTGTGGCTCCCTGTTTTGGGTCCTCATCATAGCTTGGTCGTTCTGTGCCACCGTGTGAGTTTGGTCTCTCCTCCATGACAGGAATGCAGTGAGGGTGTGGTCAGGGCTACCTTACTGCCATCGGTAGTCAGGAAGACCCAGGAGGTCACCAGGCCTGGGTCCTGCCCAGGAAAGCCACACCCTAGAGGGGAGGAATATACTCTCGGGAACAGTAGCTAGGATACTAACTAGGATACAGAACAGAGAGCAGCAGGCGCCTGAGGTCCTCTGCTCCTGGCCTTAAGGGGCCCAATGTGAAGTTCCCAAGGACCAAAAGAGGGGTGTTCCGGGCCTGCCAGGGTCTCTCTCCAGCTGTGCAAACAGTTTTTGCGAAGTGCATCTTGGCCCCTGCCACACCATTTGTCCTGTGTAGTTTGCTTTGGCTTTCCCCCAGCCTCAGCTCTTCATCCCTTCCAGCTTCCCAGGCCTGGTGCCCCAGACTGCTGGAGCTCTGTGTGAGCCAAACCCAGGGCCTGACCAAACTAAAGACAAAAGAGAACGAGATGTGATGTGGGTTTTGTTAGACCTATTACCTGATTGCTGTGGACATCAGGCAAGAGAGCCATTCTTACATTTGTGGTGAGCAGTCCTATCTATCATCTGTCTGTCTGTCTGTCTGTCTGTCTATCTATCTATCTATCTGTCTGTCTGTCTGTCTGTCTGTCTGTCTATCATCTGTCTGTCTGTCTATCTATCTGTCTGTCTATCATCTATCTGTCTGTCTATCTATCTATCTATCATCATTACCATTATTACTATTATTTTCTGTTCTGTTGATAGTGCTGGGGATTGAATCAGGGGCCTAATATACATACTAGATAAACACTCTAGGTAAATATTAACTGAGCCATACCTCAGCCCTTATTCATTCTTTTTAGTTAGCAAACATTTTATACAACAGCTTCTTATTGGCCAGGCAGTCTATTGAGCTCTTTAAAAACATTTTAAAAGTACAAGTATCACATGAGTGAATATCATGAATAATTCTTGGAGAAATGGAGCACTCAGTCTGAGAAAGCCGAAATTACTTCCCTAGTGCACATGGTTAGTGAATGGTGCAGCTGGCTCCATGTATGGTCTGCCTGCCTGTGGGTTATGAGCTTGTAACCATTCTGTGACAGTGCCCATAGCATAGCTTGGGCTCCCATTCTTGGCAGCTGTCTTGAAATGGGGAGAGAGCACTGGACTGTGAGTCCAGAGACATAGGTTCTAATCTAACTGTCATTCCATTGCTCTGTGATTCTACACAAGATTCTGTGATTCTTATATCTTTGGGTCCTCCTGGCAACCACGTTTCCCCTGCTCAGTGATGGCTTGGACTGAATATGTTGTAAGTTCCCCTCTGGCTATAAGACATGGGGGATGGAATGCACTCCAGGCTGCAGCATGGTGAGGGAGCTTCCAGAGCACAGAGGTGGGAGAGTGCCAATACACTAGGCAGGGATGGAGCAACAACTGTTAGCAAGCATGTCAACCAAGGGACCAGGACTAAGGGTCAGCGCCCTGCTGCCCACAGATCTGCCTTGGATTTCCATACCCTGCCACTAGTGTGTGTATGCCTGTGCTGTGTATATGTCCCCACTCACTCACCCTAACCTTTCCATTCTCTCTTAGTTATAGAAGGCAAAGGCCTGATGAGCAAAGAGCCTGGCATCTGTGATCCCTATGTGAAGGTATCCGACGGGACGAGAGGCTGGTGTGGGGTCCCCAGGAGCCATGTCCCTGAGTGCAGTCTCAAGGTCCAAGTTCTCTATGGGTCTGGGGCCTGAGGTCGTGGCTAGCACCTCATCCACTGGGCCCCTGGTCCTTTATGAGGCCCGTGCTAGCCTAGATCCTTGCTTTTTGACTGACTTGTTCCCTAGGGCTTTGGGCAAGAGCTAGACTCTTAAAAGAAATCTTGGTGATCCACCATGCTGGTGACTGATACACAAGTTTTCTTGTGGACTGCGGCGTCTTCATCCCTTTCCCCGCCAAACTGAAGTAGAACAGGCCTAGGCAAGAGGGTGGAAGGTGCATCTCTGAAGGCTGGATGCAGAGGACCACATGGGAAAGGATACAGGAAGCCAAAGGCCAGGGACATCCCAGAGTACTGCAGCCAAGATGCCAGCTGCAGGCCTGATGCTCTCTCCCCTTACTTCCTGAAGCCCTTCCTCCAAGAGCTGGAGAAAGGCCTGACAGGAACAGGCTGGATGCCCGGGGCAGGGGAAGAAGAGTCCTGTAGTGAAAGCATGGCCTTGGGGCTTCCTGGGGAGGGAACAGAATGCCCAGGAGCTCCTGGGGACTTAGAAGGGAGGAGGCCTTTGGCTCTGGGGAACCTTCCTAGTTGAAGCCAGAGTAGAGAAGACACAGCTGTCCCCATCTCCAGCAGATGTTTTGCTGCCTTCTTGGTGCCACCACCATGACCCCCGTCCTGGTGTCCATCACACTGGCCCCAGGCTCCTTGCTTGTGATGGGGACTCTGCTCTGTCCTCTGCACAGGCTGCTTTAAAGAACCGTGGGAAGCTTTTAGTTTGGAGCCACACAGCCAGAGCTAGCCACGGGGCTTCTGGGATGGTGTGGCTGTGTGATTGCCTAATGTTTTCACTTTCTCCACTCAAGATTTCGTTGACCCCGGAAGACGACCAGCAGTGCTGTCGGGTGACACAGACCATTCCAGACTGCAGAGACCCAGCTTTCCATGAGCACTTCTTCTTGTAAGAGTCGGGAGAGGCAGGGAGGCTCTGTCTGGGAAGATCTCCGTTTGCCACATCTAGACACAGATCTAAGCAGAAAAACAGTGGCTTCTAAAGGATGCCTTTGTTTTCTCGTCCCCAGTGTGCTTTCCTCCCTGGCCTGGGCCCAGCAGAAAGGCGTGCAGCAGTAATATCACTTGGCTGCTTCTCCTAGCTGAGGTCTCTAGGGCCGGCAGAGCCCCTCTCCCAAGAGTAGCCAGTTTCCCGCTGTGCCTCTGGCCAAGTTTTCATCTTCAAGAGAAGGAATTTTCCGAGCTGAGGGGCGGTATTACCTGCCTATCTACCCTTTTTTATTTAAACTCATTAACCTCCCTGAGCCCCAGCTTCCTCGTTTGTGGAATGGAGTTAATAATAGTTCCCGTCCAGGGAGCTGGGGACGGGACGCTTAAGCAGAACAAGAGGCAGTGCCCATCAGAGTGGGAGCTATTGTTGTTGTTTTACTGTTATTTCTCTCCCCCATCTCTGGGCACTCTGGGGCCAATGGCAAGGTCATAGGCATTTAGTCTTTTCCTGGTAGAATCATAATATTTTGATTTTCTCCCCACTTCATGACATAATTTTGCATATTAGCCAATTTGGACAATGGGGGTGAGCAAGAAAAGAAGAAAGTACTCAGGCCCTCCTACTTACACAGATATGCCTTGTCACAGATCCCTTCGTTCACGTGGGTGTGTGTCTGTGTGTGTTTACAACACAGAATTCTCATACCGGTGTGTCCCAGCCTCCTCCGTGTTCCTAACAACATAACATACACGCTACTATGCACGTGAGAGGCCTCATCTCCCACGCGATGGCACTGTGTTTAGTCACTGTTGTAATCATGGCCAGCTCCGTGAGCCTGGCTTAGATCTGGGCCCTCCTAACTCTCTGATGGTCCGCTTTGCTTCCTAGTCCTGTCCCGGAGCAGGGTGATCAGAAGCGTCTTCTGGTGGCTGTGTGGAACAAGGCCAGTGAGACCAGGTGAGGAGACCTGCCGAGCTGTGCTGAGAGCCTTCTCTGGGTTAGGGGTTCCAGCAAGAGGTAGGGGACAAATGCCTTTGGGATAAATACGTAGCCGTGACTATACGGAGCTGTGGAGGCCGGCACCCTGAGGCCCTACACACAGAAATGATGACGAAGAGAGGCTAAGACACCATGGTCAGTGAACTTTGCTGAGACCCTGGTATCAACACGGCAGGGTTTAAGCTCCCAGGGATGCCAGCTGGCATACACCAGGAGGGGACATTAGGCACTGTGACAGCATGAGCTCATTACCCAGTTCCACAGGACTCTGCGCTGTTTTCACTGTGCCTTGCTCTGACTCACTGGTGGATCCGCTGCATCCATACTTCGTGAATACTAATCTCACAGAATAGAATGGGTGAATAAAAAGAGTGAGTGTGGGAAGGTGACTTGGGAGGGCTTCATGGGAAAAGTGGGATTTCCAACCTGGGCAGCAAGTAAGAGTAAGACAAGGAGAGAAGGAAAGGGCATTCCGGGACAAGCGTGGCGTGAGTAGCAAGGAAGCAGGAGTCGCTGTGGTGGCCTCAGGCCATCATGAGGAGGCCTGGTGTAGGTGTGCAGAAGTGTTGTGGGGGAAATCCAAACAGACTCACCTCGTAGGTGGTGGGAGACAAAGGAGGCAGCTGTGGTTGTGAAAATGAGAGGCAGAGGTTATAGCGTGGGGTAGGGGTGCCGTAGGCAAGTGTGAGGGTCGGCTGCTGAGGAATGTCCGTGCAGACATTTACCTTCTAAGGCCAGCTGGGCAGGAGCAGCATGGGGCTCACGTCACAGTGACAGAATGTGAAGCTGGGAGACCTGATAGCCAGTAACCCTTGTCCAGCAAGGGTAGAATCGAACTGAGTGAACGGAAAAGGGGCCCATGTGGATGAAAGTTAGCTCAGCTCTCCAGCCTAGACCTAGAAAATATTTTGGGGTGGAATTCTTTTTGTGGATGTACCATGCTGGAGACTGAACCTAGGGTCTTGTGCATGCTAGGCAAATATTCTGAAACTGAACTATGTCCCTAACCCCTGAATTCTTCTTGGAGACACAAATCCCATTAACTACTATGCTGTTTTAGAGGTCCCATTTAGCCTTGAGAATGAAGAGTTTTTGTTCCGACGGGACCTACTTTTCATCACAGAGTAAAGCTCAACATTCTAGGTGCTGGGCACTTATTCAGTTCTCTGGAGGGGCAGTGAGAGAGACTTGAGGGTGGGGGTGGGGGAGAGGGTATCACACCGATAACAGGTGCCTTGCTTGTGGGCTGCTGAGCAGAGTCCAGTCAAGAATGCATTATCTCATTTGTATAGTTTGTGCTAAGTTTCCAGAAGAGGTGACCAAGCTTCAGGGAGATTAGCCTTACTCGGGGTCACCCAAACAGTGAATAGTAGAGCTGGGAAGACAGACAGTTGGATCTGAGGTCTGTCTTTATCATTTTATTGCCTTTTGGCCCAAAATGATGGAGTAGAGAGGGCGGGCTTGTGAAGTGAGGCCGTGTCTGAGCACTCACTGGTGTTTTGGGAGGGTCAGGTGCAAAGTAGGCCTCCAACAGAGCTGAGATGTAGCTGGTGGAGGCCCAGCCAGGTGGACCCAGGGGTCCTCTAGAGAAGGGCGTTCCTCTCTCGTGCCGCTTGTCCTCTGTCCTGGTTGGACATCATGGCACACAGGTTCCCAGGCGCCACATCAGATAGTTAAACCCACATGTCCATGAGCAGAACCTAGAGGTCTACACTCACATGAGGCCCCACGGTGAGCTGATGAAGACAGTTTGGTGTTTGGGATGCTGTTTGGCTACTAGGACACACCTGAAGGACACTGGCAAGAGAGTGACAGGCGGTTCGGGACTGTCTTTGGAAGGTGAAAGTAAGAATTGATGGGAACAGCATTTGAACGTGGTACTTGGCTGTGAGAAGAGGGGGAGGGGCAGATACACCTCTCGGACGGTGGGTGGCGCCGCCAACAGCGTGTGAAGGGGAAGGGGAGATGCTGGTGTCTAGAGCACCAGTGAGAGAGTGGTGTCTGCATGGGACGGATGAGACGGACCCGGGATGCACTGAGCACCAGCCCCCCTGTCTTTGAAGGGTCAGTAAATCGCACCCAAAGTCCTAAAGGAGCCTGCAGGAGAGCCAGAGAAGCAGAGGGACACTCTGCAAGCTCCCGGCGGAGGTGAGGGCTGGAGCAGAGCCTTCCTTGGGAAGCAGGCAGGCAGAGCAGCTCACAGTTTTGGAAGAGAAAGTGCGGCTGAGGCCGGGGAGAGTGAGTCAGCCCCAGGCAAGGCCGCCTGATCAGGGCACTGTCTCCACTAGTTGCCTATTTTGGGAAAGTGAGATTCTTTATTAAATAAAACACAGCCAGCCTCATGGTCAGAGTCCCAGCCCTAAGCTCAAGAGGGCTGGGGCAGGCTCAGGCAGGCCTGCCTGTGGAGCAGATGGCTCCATGGAGGCCAAGGCCGTCAGCACCATGCTGGCTGTTCTCAGCCTCCATGCATTCTCAACCGGCTCTTCTTTATCGACCAGAGGAGACCGACCTCTGAGCTGGAGCAGCCAGACGGCACCTGCAGGAAACACAGGCTCTGCCGAACACTCCCAAATCAAATTGCATTTCTCTGAAGGACAGACACACAGCTTATCTCTGTGAAAGACCATTACAGCAGGTGGGAGGCAAGTTTACTGAGCATTTACAAAGCATTTCCCATACATCATCTCATTTAACGCAGGTTTGGAGGGGTAAGAATTATGATTGTCTTTCTCTTCAAAGGCCTACGAAGGTGTAAGACCTTGAGGTTGTATAACAGCTGGTACTTAACGAGCATTTATTCTATGTGAACTTTAAACCCATGGCATGCCTTATCTAATTTAATCCTCACTCTGCTCTTTTATGGGCGAGGAAACAGGCACAGAAAGCTTATGTAACCTGTCCAAAGAAGAAAATCAGCTGCAGATGCAGACAGTCAGAAAGCAAGCTTGTGCTTGTAGCCACATCCCAGTGCACTGGCCTGCCGCCCACAGGTGACAAATGGCTTCAAAGCCATTCTCCTTCCCCGTCAGTGGCTTGATCCACCAACCTCAAGATGTTTCAACAGTGAAGTGTAGCTGTGTATGAAGCTCCCAGTCAAATGTGTAGAAGGCACACTCTGAACCTATCGGCGACAAGAAGGGAAGCACCTCCCAGTGGTGGCTGTAGAGACAGGGTGCACCCAGGAGTCCTGGTGGGGCTGGGGAGATGGCTCCATGGGGAGAGCTCTTGTCGTGCAATAGTGAGAGCCTGAGTTTGAATCCCCAGCACGGATGTAAGAAGTCAAGCATGGCAGCACACAAGCCTGTAATCCCAGCACAGTGGTGGTCGGAGACCTGAGGATGACTGGGGTTTTCTAGTTGCCTGTTTAGCTCTAACTTCACTGAGAGACCTTGTCCTGAGGGGTTAAGGCAGAGATGGACAGAGCAGAGCAGTGCCCCTGACATGATCCTCTGGCCTATGTGCGTGCGTGCACACACACCCACACTCACACCCACCCACCCCCACACACACCCACACACCATATACATACATAGATGCATACATGCATACATACACACATACACACATATACATACACATACACACATATACATACATACACCCCCCCCACATACATACATACATGCATACATACATGTATACACACATATACATACACACAGCACATACATACATGCATGCATACATACACGTACACACACACACACACACACACACACACCTGTGCACATGGACACACCCCATTGATCACAGATGCGCGGCATCCAGGAGGAGGAGCTGTTGACTTTAGCCTAGGCCAGCATCTTGGCAGGAGCTGAGGAGAACCAGTGAGCCTGTGAAGGAGAGCCACACTCATTGACTGTGACACTGTGGGCCAGCCTTTCCCCAGCTCTGTGCCTCAGTTTCTTTGTCTGTAAAATGCGGTCATCTATAAAACTTCTTTTTTCAATTTCAAAGTTCTGTGAGTATTGAAAATTATAACTACTTTCATAAAATAGCTTGGTAAGCTAAAAACAAAACTATAGACCTTTCCAAAGATATGCAAAGCTAGAAGGCAGATGCCAACCCCCAGAAATGCAGAGCCCCAATTCATTTGTTATCAACATGTGATCTTTCTCTCTGCCCGTCCATGGCCCCTCCTCCAGTGGATGGTTTTCAAGCAAACCTCACACATTTTCATGTCTTATCAGTATAATACACACACTCACACACACACACACACACACACACATGTGGGACAATTTCTAAAGAAACAGAACCATAAGGATGTAATCACACTCAGATAATAGTAATCCATTTATTTCCTCAGGCCCTTTGAACATGGAGCTAAACTGTTTGGAAGTCCCACTGGATAATAAGCAGAAAGGCTAAATGAAGCATCTAATAGCATTTAAAGCACTTTCTGAACTTGCAGCAGAGACCAACCTTGGAGAAAAAATGTAATTGTTCCTCTGAAAGACAGACATTTGACTCATCAGTGTGAGAGACTGTTGTAGAAGAATATTAATAGATTTTTTAAAGTTATATAATTAAAGAATGGAATCTTCTATGACAACAGTAGCTGCATATATGGAAGGCATACTTTGCCGTGTGGCAGGCAACACCCTCAGCACTCTGGGGACAGCCTCTCCTCTAGCCCTCTTACAAGCAGGATCTTCGTGCCGAGTATAGTGGCCTAACATCAGAATGCTTATGGCCAGTGATGGGCACTTAACCCAAAGAAAAAGTGAGTAGAAAAACATGTACTCAATTTAAGGCATCAAACTAGAAATAAAGATCAAACTATATAACATGCGATAAAAAATAGTCCAAGGCTCTTGAATGAGCAGATTAATGTGACTTCCCAAAAATGTAATGTGTCTCGTCTTGCAGTAAGCTGAGCACTGTTCTGTCATGGGCTCTGTAAAGTCACCTCTGAACCTCTGTTGGCTCTGTTGGTCTGAAATGCTCTTTCCCTCATGCTCTCTGGCTGTGCTCGCTTCAGTCCCTGCAAACCTCCCAGCCCCAGCTGCTTCCTGCACTTCACGATTTGTTGCCCGCACGGTTCATCTGTCAGTCTCCCGTTCCAGGCCCTGTGTTGCTGTCTTGAACTGCTATTTAAATTCCTGCCTGTTTGTCTTGTTTCCTTAATACTGGGGCTCCATGCCCAGTGCCTGCCAACCATGGGCATGATGGATTCCCCCATTTGTCAAGCCTTCACTGAGTGCAGAAGCCTGGAGCTGAAGCCTTGGCAGTCAGCAGTGACCAAGGCGTGGTTCCAGAGCCTCTTCACAGAGGGAAATTGCCAGCCTCTCCTGCATGGGCTCAAGTTGGTAAGCTGGCTCGTACCTTGCCGTTTGCCCAGGCTGCTTATATAAGCAGTTCTTCCTCCAAAGGGTTTTCAAAAGCAGCCTTCAGAAGTAGCTAATTGAAGAACACTCAGAGAGAGGTTCCTGCCTGTGGACATTAATTGTGACAATTTACTCTGCCTGAATGATCATGAAATCACTGGAGGCCCCTTAGCAGGAAGCAAAGCTCAAGGGAGGCTATTAACCATTTAGCATTCTCTGAGCACGGGGAATAAAAATTCCACTTACAGCAGAGTAGGGAGTGGCAGTGTTTATTACAACTGAAGTCCCAGCCTGGAGATGAGGAAGTCTGCAGTGGTGGCCAGCATGAGTGCAGAGTGTGCATCACCTCACTGCCCGCCAAGGCTCTCCCAAAAGTGCTGAAGAGAAAAGCAAACTTGCTAGGGGCAAGCTGGTAGAGCCCCTGCAGGCTGTCCTTGTGTTGCAGCTGTCCGGGAGATCGCTGCTTTTGGTAGTCTAGCATGCTAGTACCACTCTGGCCCCTTTCGAGGAGGGAAGAATATTTGTTCAAAACAGTGGGGTAGGAAGATGAAGGGATGTTTTCTTAGTGTGACTGGATTACCTTCCTTAAGCAATTTATTAGTGATAGGAAGGCACAGGGAGGAGGAGGAGCCCGTGAACCACAGCTGGAGATGTAGCCAATGGATGCATGGAGAAAGAGAGCTGGATGAACACCGAGCCCCGCCCCCCCCCAGACTGTAGTTTAGAACGTGGACAGGCAGGCAGCGGCCAGTGTTGAGGACCAGTCTGTGGCACTCTGTGTCCTGTCCCTCACTTGACTCGGCTGCCTGAGAGAGGCTAGTTTTGTTGTGCTTATAACTATCAGATGGCAAGCTGCCACCCTTTCTGAAGAATACAAACAATATGTATTTGTGGAGGCTTCTCGACCTCTGCTTGACCATAGGTGGGTGCCTTGCAGACTCCTTGGAGAACTTTCTCCAGGCTCCAGTGCCCAGACCCTGCCTTGAACCAACTGGGTTTGGATCTAGGCAGGAGTTCTAGAGCTCAAATCTCAGGCAGTGTTTTGGGCAGCCCTTTGTATGCTGTGTTGTTTAGAGTTACCTCCCAGGCCTGGCCCCTGTAGACCATCCTCCTGACAGGTACATCCACAGGGAGCTTACTACTTCCCTCTTTGCTTTAACACTGTCCCCTCCAGGACAGACCAAATTCTCCATCTACGTGGGCCCTACAGAGAGTGAAAATTGGACTGCCAATGTGTGATGTTTCTAGATAGTAAATAAACCCATCTACAAAGAAATCATGAGTTGGGAGCTGTAGAAAGAGAAGACTGAAGAAAACCAAAACTCACAAAAGGCTCAAGCAGGAGGGCCAAGTAGAAAGCTGTACAGTAGATGTACCTAAACACACGCTTAGACACTGCACCCCATTGCAGAGAATGTACTTAAACACACGCTTATACACCGCACCCCCATTGCAGAGAATGTACTTAAATACACACTTATACACCGTACCCCATTGCAGTAGATGTACTTAAACACACGCTTATTGCACCGCACCCCCATTGCGGAGAAGGTACTTAAACACATGTTTATACACTGCACCTCGTTGCAGAGAATGTACTTAAACACATGCTTATACACTACACCCCCTTTGCAAAAGCAGCGACTATCCCTCTGAAGATTTGAAAACAAAAATCGCCAACAATCCCACCTACCAGACACAGCCCTTGCTTGTCTTTTGTGGTTCTGTTTCCCATGAAACTGCAGCTTTGTACAGGTTCTTTCTGGTGACAGTAGCAAGCTTTGGCATTTCATTAGCATCGATCGATCGATGCTGTCATTATTAAAAGCTGTTAATACGTTCCTGATAGTTGGACATTTCTCTGGGCACTTTGAATTCCTGTTACCCAAGAAGCCCGGCTTGAACTCTACCCCTAGTGCTGTCTGACAGTGTCTGAGGCCTGACTGGGTTCACACTTGCCTATCCCATTGACAGTTGAGTCAGACAGGTTATTGTGGGTCATTGTGACTCTTGTGTTGCGTTGGGTATGTTTGGAACTTGGTCTCCAGCCATTTGAGAGTCGCAAAGGTCCTTCTTGGATATGAGGCAAAGCTATGTGAACTGAGGTTCCAAAGCTTTCCTCTGTCTGTCCCCAGCTGAGGTGGTGGTTAAGAGTCTCTGACAGGGACAAGCCTCTGCACCTACCCAGCTCCAGGACAGCTAAAACACTCAAGGTGGTCCTGAGCGCCTGCAACATCGGAGAGTACAGCGTCTGCCCAGGCCTAGGACGCCCAGGCTCCCTCAGAACCCACTCCTAACTATTCTGTGACCCTGGGAGGAGGACCAACCTCCTCCACCCACCTCACCAAGTGGAAGGACAAAGGGACAGAAGCAGGTGGAGGAATCCACATGTAGACTGGAACGTTTGACAGACAGCAGGGGACTCACTCTCTGCTCTTCTAGGCAGCGTGCACTCATCGGCTGCATGAGCTTCGGGGTGAGGTCCCTCTTGACTCCGGACAAGGTGAGTTCACAGGAAGCTTCTGGGGCAATAGCCCACCTAGGTTGGCTAGTATAGTCGTACTGACCCTGGGCATGCTTGGGTTGAGCTGTTCTCTGACATTGGTAGCCTAACTTAGAGGCAGCTGCTGTCACTGGGCTGGCTAAGGGTTTGGGTCCCCTTCCAGAGCATAGTTTGGCAGCCCCTCAGCTTCCTGGGAAGTGCCGAGTCTGGTAGATTCCAGGATGCTATGAAATATTTTGGCAAGTCCCATTTTATATAGACACTCCTAGTCTGCTCTGGGTGAGGGGAACAGGCACCCCTGGTGCCCCTCCACCGGATCCTCTTGATCTGTCTTCTGAGTACAGGAGAGGGCAGCACTGGAATTGATGGCATCCCTCTAGGCTGGGTGAGGACATGGGCTGAGAGGACCCCTCCTTTGGGTCACCGTACTCAGCGGCCCTTAGTAGGCACTGCAGCCCCAAACCGGAAGCTCTGAGTGGGGCTGGGTGCACGTCTCCCACATCTTGAAAAGGTCCTTGCAGCCTGTCTTGTATCCCTGCCGCTAAACTCTGTGTCCTGGAATGAAGTGGCGAGATGGTGTGTGGCAGTCCTTTGGACCTCCTGGCTGCAGCCTTGGCTTCATCTTTTCTGAGGACTGAGAGGGGCGCTTCTCTGGAGTATCTGCTTTTGTGGCCTCTGCAGCTTTTCACCCTTTCCTTTTTATTCTGTAAACAAATACTTAACAATTGCCTACTGTTTACCAGGCTCAATGTTAGGTACGTCAAAGAGCCTGGCGGGAGGCGGGAGGCAGGAGGAAGTCCATAGTTCTCTAGAGATAAAGGGCTAAGAGAGGACCATTTCTGTCCAGAGCATCAGGGAAGGCTTCTTAGTGTAGGTGGTAGCCTTGGGGCAGGGAGGCTGGGCCATCTGCTTCTGAGGAATGATGCCCAGCTGCAGTTTTAGTTGTTTGTGTTTTGTTTTTGAGGGGTTAGTGGTGCCTTGACCTGTTCCCTCTGCCTCTCTAATCTAATCATATCATTCCTTCTCTCACAACAGGAGATCAGTGGCTGGTATTATCTGCTAGGGGAAGACCTGGGCCAGACAAAGCACCTCAAGGTGGCTAGGCGGCGGCTCCGGCCCCTGACAGGTGTGTATAAGCCCCTTGAACCTCCTGACCCTTAGTGAGTGAAGCATGGGCCTTTGCCTCCCTGGGACTTATTGCCAGTGCTTATGGGACCGCAGACTACCCCATGCCCAGGACATCATTACCATATGATGGGTTTTCCTCAGAGTTTGTACCACCTGGCTTCACACAAATCAGTCCCCTGCCTCACTCTCAGAAGCGTCATTACTTCCCAAGTGTCCCCTTCCCAGTCTCTATTTCTCATCTGTGATGCCTTGCTGAACTTGGGGTCTCACTGTGCAGGCGTGGTTTTAGGATCTGCCGTGAGCCTGGGCTTCAGGGCTTGGATCTCACCCCCCCTCAGCCTTGCTCTTTCCCTCACAGCCCTGGCTCCCGAGCCTCTGTCTGCTCTGAGCCTTGGCACCCTTCTATCCTGGAAGCCAGGAATGGCTCTGACACCCTGGCCCTGGTTTGCGCATGGGCCCTCACGTCAGCAGGCATCTTCTGACTCGCTCTATCACCTTCCAGATGTGCTGTTGAGAATGCCAGGAGACAGGGGCCCTGAGAGTGGGGAGAAACTCCAGGTAGGTGGAGACGGTTCTGGCTGGGGCTGGTGGAACCGGAGCATGACTCCAGGGTCTCTGGTCCCCTTTTTGCCAGCCTCTTGACCCAAGAAGTGGCTGTGAAAGAGGGCAGCGTTTGGTGTCTGGCACTTGGCAAGTCGTGCATTGATGAGGAGGATGCTTGGCTTTCCTAAGGTGTGTCATTGGAAAGGTGTGTCATTGCCCTGTATGTAATTATTCATGACCTTTGCAAGAGTGGGAGAGAGACAGAAAACACAGGTGACTGTTCTTTCAGAGTTTTTTTGACCTCTAGAAACAGAATCCTCCCTTCCCCCAGATCACCAAATCTCTGTTTCTCCTAGAACCATGGCTGTGTCATCTTCACAGGTTAGGCCTGCCGGGGCTGGGGAGTAGCCGTGACTCTGAATCTGAAAGTCATGGGTTCTTGGCTTCCTACCAGCTTTGAATCTGGAGAAGATAATATAGGAATTTGGAAGAACTGTTCAAAGTTCACTCGATCTCTTTGGAGAACCTGTCATGTTGACTCATGGTTTTCTTTAACTAGAAGAAGGAAAATCAAACTCCCAGGGATCAGTTATCCCCTTGGGTGCTATTGTGATCTAACTCCCATCACCTCCGTGAGGTGGTTTGTCACCACCCTACCTTACAGATAAGGAGACATACAGATCGATAGGTGCCATGTCACGGTGGCCACACAGCCAGCAGGAGGTCAACTGTGCCTCTGGAAAGGGTGTGCACTGTGTTGTACTGTCTCTAGAGTGTGGAGACATCACTGAGAAGGCTTGCGTGGCGTTGGCATGCTCCTCGAGCTCTTACCTATGGATGTGTTGCCATCTAGGAAACCTCTTCACTGACAGCACTCATCCATTCCCTCATGCACCTGTGTGAATCCCAGCCTAGTGCTGGGTTCTGGGCAGCGTCTTGGTTCCGCCCTTGTGGAATGTACTGTGCATCACTGCCCAGCATAGTAGCAGCTTGCTGCCTGTGGCTTGTGAACGCTTGGCTGGCCTGAGGAACCGAATCACAATCCTATTTCACTTTAGGTCACCTTGGTTTGCCTTGTACAAATGTCTAGCTCCCATTATAGATCTAGGGTAACTTGCCAGATGTGTTTTGTATGGCTTTACTAGGAGTTAAAAACCTTCGTCTAGCTTCAGAGATAGTTTTCAAAGATCTTCTCCCCACTCTCTGTGATGGGGTAGTGACTATGTAGCCACTCTGGTAATATGTGGAGCTACTGAGACATCAACATTGTAGGTGGCTTGTTAAAGACCTACTGTGTGCTAGATTCTGTATACTGCCCCATGTCCCTAAGGGCATTGGATTTGTGGGCCTATACACCCTGAAGATGTCCATAGTGCTCAGCAGAGACAATGATTGGCAGAGGCTTGGGAAAACAGGAGGGCACTTATTTAAGTCCTCCATTTGAAAGACTTGGAGATGTAGGTCACCTGCCCATGATCACTTGGCAACCAAGCCAAGCGACTGCCTCTGTTCTAACATGAGTGAGCAGCAGGCGGGCTTTTCCAGGGGCTCCTAGGAAGGCAGAGGGGGCTGGGTTCATTCTGTGCCACTCACAAGACCTGATCCTGGGACTACAAGGTACTGGACTGCAGGGCTTGGGCTCTAACCTGGCATTCAACTGTGACCTCTCTCTCTGCCTCCATTTCTTTGTTCTTTGTTGTTAAGAAGTGGAGGCTGCTGCCCCGCCGCTGGCAGCCCACTTGCATACTCGTGTGCTGCCGGCCCCTCCACACAGCCCACTTCTGTGAGTGAAGAAGCTGACTTTGCAGTAGCTCCTGAGTGCCCACAGTGCTCAGGGCGTCCCAGATTGTCCCCACTGGGTTGGTCCTGAGGACCCTGGGATTTGCAGGGAGGTGTGCTGTTAGAGAGCAGTGCATGCTTTCTGCTTTCCAGCTGGCGGTGAGGGGTGTTTGTGAGAACACTGGACTCACAGAGTGGCCCAGGGCAGAGAATGCAGCCAGAACAAAGGCGCCCTCTCCCCGCCAGGCCCGAGGAATACTAACTAGTTGACAGGAATTTTAATATAAAACTCTCCCTCTTCCTTGTCACTCTGAGGTTTCAGGAAGCCTTCGGGCTTATCTGCAGAGGCACACAGCGCAGACAGGGCCTGGGGAGGTGAGAGGTGATTTCCTGCCATTCTTCTGTGGGACGGGCTTCCCAGGGCGGTCATGCCAGGCTGACGGGCGGGCGGGCTCAGTGCGGGCTCCCGCTGCTGTGGGGGAGAGCTGGGTTTTCATGGGGAGACAGCTGAGGCAGGACCGGCAGCCATGAACCGCTTCAATGGGCTCTGCAAGGTGTGCTCAGAACGCCGCTACCGGCAGGTGGGTGCCTGATTACCCGGGAGTCAGGGATGGGGGCTCATCCATATAGATGCTCTCTCTACAAGGCCTTCCGTGCTTGCTTTTGTCCCCAGCAGGCACATCTGGATGTGGAGGGAAGTTAGAGGCAGGGGCTGGACCCATGGTCCTGCCTGCTACCTGATGCCCCCGTATTACAGGCAGCCAAGGCTAGTTCTGTGTGTCCTAACCATTGACTGGCAGCCTTGATGAAATGATTTAACTGATTTTTTGTTCTGTCATCTGGGGAGGAGGTGATTTTTTGACATTTATTTATTCATTTTTAAAAGGCATTTCAGTTCTAAGATTGCTAATGCTTTTGGGGCTATGGAGTGAGTTGAGTGACTCTGGAGAGCTACAGTGTTGCTGACTTCCCTGTTTCTGTGGGCTGCCATACCCATTTTGTCCCTTGTGTGTGTTGGCGTGTGCTTCTGTGTGAGACAGGATATTCTGTGTATGTGTATGTTTTCCTCCCTGCTGCCTTGAAGTGACTCCATATTCCTGTGGCTAAGAGTCCAACTTCACTGAGCTTCTGGGCTGGGGGGTGGGCAGAGTCGGAGTGATGGTAACGGTCACCCCTAAGACTCTTTTAGAACCAGGCTTTTCTTCCTTTCTTCCTTCCTCCCTTCTTCCCTTCTTTCCTTCTTTCTTTCTTTCTTTCTTTCTTTCTTTCTTTCTTTCTTTCTTTCTTCCTTCCTTCCTTCCTTCCTTCCTTCCTTTCTGTCTTTCTTTCTGAGACAGGGTTTCTCTGTGTAGCCCTGGCTGTCCTTGAACTCAGAGATCTGCCTGCCTCTGTCCCCTTAGTGCTGGGATTTAAGGCGTGAGCCACCACCACCCAGCTAGGACTTTCTCTCTTATAAAATAGGAATGGGCCGGGTATAAAAGTAAAAGATACCCAGATTTGGGTAGTGTCCAAGCTAGGAAGGAGCACACAAATTTTCTGACTGTTAAAACACAGAGAAGGCCCTCGTTAGGATCTAGGTCCTAACTCCTTAGTGTGTAGGTCACAGGGAGATGTCCACAGGGTCCCCTGCATCTGCCTCTGTCACTTCGGTATCCAGATGTTCCTCCCAACCTTCCCCTGCTCTCAGGTCCTGCCCTGCTTGTCCCAACCTATGCTCCCTACTTTGCTGTGGTTGGACAGAGCAGTCCCCGTGGCAAGAGCAGTTAGGTGGTGAGGCAGGGTGAGCACCAGAGGGAAGGTAGTGAAATCCCAGGTGCCCTTGGGCCAAGGGGCCAGAAGACTGGGCTGTGCTGGTCGTCAGAGTGGGACCTGGTGCACATATGAACTGGACCCACAGCTCTGGACTCAGAGTAAGGCGGCCCCTGCATTAGAGGCTGGGGGCAGAGTTGAAAGCACTAAACTTTCTGAGGGACCAGAGCTCTAGGCCGGCTCAGCCCTCTTTAGCTGCCTCTCTTGAGCAGTCCACAGTCCCTTGTCCCACAATAGCAGTAGTGACAGGGACAAGCCTATGAAAGGACAACTCCTATAAAATGCTTGGCTGGTGTCTGCTGCTCACCTCCAGGGAGTGGGCAGTCAATGCCGGCAGCTAGGAACAGGAGTCCAGGTGTGACAGAACTTCAGCAACCAGGCAGTCATGGCTGAGACACAGGAACAGGGACAGTGCTTGCCCTTGACGGGCAAGAGAAAGAATCATCCTGGGAAAGACACCTGTCAGGAGCTGCTGAGGTCCCAGAGTCAGGAGGGGACTGTCTCCCTCCTTGAGCCCAAGGTCAGAGAGGAGGGGTGGGAGAGCATTCCTTCCCTTTGGGCCTTGATTAGCTTCTCTGTAGAAACGGGCTTGCTGACGCTGTATCCTTGGGCTGTAGTGATGGACAGACTCTTTCCATCTTTGGATATCACCGTCTGCGTGCTTAGAGGCCACGACAGCAGAGTACAGTTCTGCCTCCATCACAGTCCGCTCTTCCCACAAAGCCAGGTGTCTCCTTCCTTTATGTCCCCTCCCCTGCCACCCCTTGCTTGCCAACAGGGTGGGACTGTTCTCTGGGGTGGCACTCCGGGAGGTAAAGAGGCTCCTGTCTCCTGTCTCCGCTTGGACCAGAGCGCCAGAATGTGGAAAGGCATTCCTCTTCAGACCAGGCAGCTGGGGCTCACCCTCGAGAAAGGAGAGGTCATCCTCAGTACCCTGTGGTGCAGGCTTGGGGCAGGGCTGGGAGGGTGCCTGTGGGGCGTGGAGGGCGGGGTCGAGTCCCCTGTTATCCCACAGGGCGGTTCTTGCTGTCTTCTCCAGGCCCGGCTGGCTGGGCAACGAGAGATCTCTTTCTACCGTCACTGCACATCCATTCCCGGCTTTGTTAGCTTTCTTCCCACTTTTTCCTTCTCTTCCTGTCTTGGCCGTGTGTTTTCCCAGAATTCTTATGGGAACAGGGTATTTTCCTGCCCCCTCCCTCCCCCTTGTCTGTCAGATTTCCTGTTTTACAAACTTGCTTTGAATCCAGGCCCAGGGCTGGTGGGAAGCAGAGCCTCGGGGACCTTTGGTCACCCTGGGCTCCTGCCTGCTCCCCTTGGCGGTGCCTGGCCTTGGGGTACCTTCAGGCACCCATTCCTAGGGGACAGCAGGCTCTGCACAAGGCTGGCAGCGCCCTTGCCTAGCCCAGGCCTGCTGAACTGTGTTCTTCCTCTCCCCGGCCAGGGTGCCATTTCTTATGCCTTGCTGGGAGCCACGCTGGCCTTGCCCTCCCTCCCTGGGGTGCCTTGGGACTCCCTCTGAGGCTATTCTCTGATCTAATCGTCTGAGTGAGCTGGTGGGCCATGTTGCACCCAGAATCATCCTTTTTGGTTTTTGAAGATTTTGTTTTAAAAATTTTTTTAAGTTATATTTATATGTGTGCGTGTGTGCGTGTGTGTGTGTGTGTGTGTGTGTGTGTGTGTGTGTGTGTGTGCATGAAGGCCAGAAGCTTTGGACCCCACTGGAGCTGGACTTACAGGTGACTCTGAGACGCTGACATGGATACTGGAAATAGAACTCACGTGCTAGTACTGCTAAGCCAGCCGTTCTCAGCCAGCCGGTTGAGACCCCTTTAGAAAGTCCAGTGACCCTTTCACAGGGTCACTTATCAGATAGCCTGCATATCTGATATCCACATTGCAGTTCATAACAGTACCAAAACTACAGTTATTAAGTAGCAATGAAAGTAATTTTGTGATTGGGAGGTCACCATAACATGAGGAACTATATTAAGGGGTTGAATCATTCAGAAGGTTGAGAGCCACTTCACTAAGCCATTTCCAAAGCCACAGAAGTAAACATTCTTTTTTTTTTTTTTTTGGTTTTTCGAGACAGGGTTTCTCTGTGGCTTTGGAGGCTGTCCTGGAACTCGCTTGGTAGTCCAGGCTGGTCTCGAACTCACAGAGATCCGCCTGCCTCTGCCTCCCGAGTGCTGGGATTAAAGGCGTGCGCCACCAATGCCCGTTGAGGTAAACATTCTTTAGGTAAGATGCTTGTCAGCACCCTAACAGACAAAGCTTTTGCTGAACTCCTGCTGTGCACAGGCGTGGTGTCCGGGGTCGCACAGGCCTGATTGCTGTACCGTTCTGTTTTGTCTTCTGTTGCTTGTCGTGGCCTACTTTTCTTTGGGGAGATTAGTGTGGGTTTGTCCTCGCTGGTAGTCAGAGACCAATTGCCACCCCCCCAGGGGCCCCTGTCCCATGGACCTCAGCAGTGATTGGCACACACAGCAGGAGTTGCATTAGAGTGCTGGTCTGCAAAGAGAATCCACATGGAAGGGTCATCTGGTGGAGCTTCCGTGCCCGCCCCCCCATGCACACAGCCCTATGCAGGCAGAATGAAGCCCGTGGCTCGTGCTGGCTTATCCTGCAGACTTTGGCTTTGCCTGTGCCTACCTCCTCTCTTGGAAACTCTCTTACTGGCTGCCGGGAGGCTCTGCTCAAACCTGCCTGTGCCTGTGAACCTCAGCACTCTTCTGACACTCTGCCATAGGCTGAGAGGGTGTCCTGTTTTCCCTCCCTGGTGCTCTGGGAGGATGGCCACCTGCTTGGCCTTGATTATGGGTCCCTAGCACAAGGCACTCCCTGGGCCAAGATCCCAAGACCTCCTTGGGAAAGCAAGCTGGGTGGAAGGTAGGCAGCCGGTCTTTAGCTGGGAGAAGAGGGACAACTCCAGATGGCTCTTGGGTAAAGAGCTGGGCTGTTAGAACCACAGGGGCAAGGTTTACCCTGTTCCCAGATCCCGTCCGCCCTGATGTCTGCTTGAGCTCTCAGCAGCTTGTTAAAAGATGCTGGCCTCAGGAACAGAGAGGCTTCTGGTTCCTTCTCAGGTCTGTGTTCCTGTGGAGAGGAAGGTGGCTCTGGGTAGGGCTTAGAGGTTTCCCAGGTTCAAAACTCTGGAGTAATTGGACAGGACTGTGTCCTAGATCACTATCCGGAGGGGCAAAGACGGCTTTGGTTTCACCATCTGCTGTGACTCTCCGGTCCGAGTCCAGGCCGTGGATTCTGGTAAGTGAATGGCACAGGATGCCAGCCCTCTCCTCCCACCAGGCAGCTGGTCTTTGCAAACAGTTTGGAGCTGGAAGGGCCCTCACACCAAATCAGGGGCTGGGTTTTCAAAAGGAAAAGAATAATATTTTTAAATGACCCACAGATGAATCTGAGGTTTATGAAAATAGACCCATGATTTTGTTTGTTTGTTTTATCAAAATGAAATAGGTGCTATATTTTGATTCCTGGAAGTCTCTGAAGCGGAACTAAACTTGAACTGTGGTGATTAATGAAAGCCATTTATGAATGCTCATCCTATTTGCAAGCCCACTTAACACTTAGAGGTGGACATTCCTATCTGGGTGTGGTAGCTCATACCTGTAGCCCCTGCATGCAGGAGGATTCTGGAATGAGATACTAGAAGTTCAAAACTAGTCTGGCCTATATCACGAGACTCTGCCCCTCACTGAAACAAAACACCTTCAAGCAAAACAAACAAAAAGCAGTAAGAAAATAAGCAGAGGTGAGAAGGTAACTTAGTAGAGTGCTCATCTTGCAGGAGTGAGCACTCTGGAACCCATGCAAAAAACAAACAAACAAACAAAAACCAACAACAGTGGCTTATGTTTGTAATTACACTACTGAGAAGGCAGAGAAAGTTGGGACTTCTGGAGTAGCCTAGTTAATGGGTCCCAGGCCAATGAGAGACTGTCTTAAAAGAGAGACAGAGACCCTGCCTGAGGAAAGACATTTGTTGTCTTCTGGCTTCTGTGTGCATGTGTGCATATGTGCTTTCTCCCTCCATCTCCCCCACCCCCTCCCACAGTCTCAGACACACAGACACATGCACACACAGAGAGACACACACAGATACACACACAGACACACACACACAGATACACACACACATACGCAGACATACACACACAGAGAGACACACAGATACACACACAGATACACACAGACACACACACAGATACACACACAGACACAGGTACACACACACACAGACACAGATACACACACAGATACACACACACAGATACACACACACATACGCAGACATACACACACAGAGAGACACACAGATACACACACAGATACACACAGACACACACACAGATACACACACAGACACAGGTACACACACACACAGCCACACACATACACACAGATACACACACAGCCACACGAACACACACACACACACAGCCACACACATACACACAGATACACACAGCCACACAGACACACACACACAGACACACACACACACAGACATACACAGACACACACACACAGATATACACACAGAGCCACACACACACACAGACATACACACACTACACACACAGACATACACAGACACACACACATAGACACACATACACAGATTCACACACAGTCACACAGAGCCCCCCCCCACTCACCTCCACCACCAAAATAGATATCACTTCCTTACTGTTCTAGGAGACCCTTAGAGAGGGTTAGTGGTAGGGGTGGGGTGCAGCTAGGGTGAGGAGGAGGTGGCAAAGGCGACAGCTACCTAGTTCTCAGAGCGACAGCGAGCAAAGAGGCAATCCTTGCCCACGGTCACTAGAGAAGCAAAGGACTCCTGGCTCTTGGAGGAAGTCTTAGGCCTCTGTGGTCTCTGACTGGCTTTTTGTTTCTGTCCTTGCAGGGGGCCCAGCAGAGAGGGCAGGCCTGCAGCAGCTGGACACAGTGCTACAGCTGAATGAGAGGCCTGTGGAGCACTGGAAATGCGTTCAGCTGGCACACGAGATCCGGTGACGGGGGTGGTGGGCGGCGATGGCCTGTCTTCCCGCCCAGCCCTGGGCACACTGTCTTGCTCTGCTCTGCTCTTTCTGCCCTCTGCCCAGCTGTGAGTGATTTACATGGCTCCTCGGGGATCCGTTTCTTGGCCTGGAAATGAAGGCTCAGATGAATGTTGACCCCACAGCAAACAGCAGGAAAGACTCTGAGCAGACCCCGTGGTTCCTACCATGGTTCCAGGGGCTGGTTCCACGTCAGCTAATTATGCTACTGAATGGCCGAACCCTTTGTCTAAGGGTGTGTAGACAGCACAGATGTTCCAGCTGCACAATTTAAAGTTTATTCTGTAAAATATCTGCTCTCCTTCACTCTGTGGGGTAACACCCCAAAGGTCCCTTTTCATCTGCTTCCACAATGGCTCCATGAGAATTGTGTTTGCTTGGCTTTCTTCGCTTGCTCTGTGCCCGCAGGCTTCCTACCTCCACTGACTCTGGGCTTCCCCAGTCTGAACTCCTCTCTGAAACTTCCAGGAGCTGCCCTACTGAGATCATCCTGCTCGTGTGGCGTGTGGTCCCCCAGATCAAGCCAGGGCCAGATGGTGGAGTTCTGCGACGGGCCTCCTGCAAGTCCACACATGACCTGCTGTCACCCCCTAACAAGAGGGAGAAGAACTGTACCCATGGGGCCCCGTCCCGTCCCGAGCAGCGCCACAGCTGCCACCTGGTGTGTGACAGCTCTGATGGGCTGCTGCTTGGTGGCTGGGAACGCTACACGGAGGTGGGCAAGCGCAGTGGCCAGCACACCCTGCCTGCACTCTCTCGGGCCACCACCCCCACCGACCCCAACTACATCATCCTGGCCCCGCTGAACCCCGGAAGCCAGGTATGGATAGCTGGGTGTGGAAGGGCACTGGGACCCTGTGGTAGACTAAGAATGGCTCCAAAACAGAAAACTGGGTTGTGAAGAGACCTCTCTGGTGTGGTAGTCTCACCTGTGGCCCACGGAATGCACATTGGGACAAGCTGCCGTGAAGGAAGCTGAGGTCTTTCATGGTGCCTGAAGTGTCTCTCAGCTCTACCCCACCTCTGCCCCTTAAGAGAACCGCTGAGTCTCCTCCGTGCCCCATGGCGCTTGCTGCCCCCCAGGACCTGTGCGCAGCCAGCTGCTGGGCTGCTCTGCCCCATTCTTGTGACTGAAGCTGGGCCTCTGTTGTTCCCTTGCAGTTGCTGCGGCCTGTGTATCAGGAGGAGGCCATCCCTGAAGGTGAGATGTCCATTGTGCTACAACGCCCTCTCAGCCTGGGGATTCAGCTGAGGTTGGGGCTCAACTTCCTGCTCTGAGTTCAGAGGCCTTTCTGATGGAATTAGGGTGACCCAGCACATTGACACAGACCCCTTATCCTCCTGGTGCCTTCTTCCCCTCACTGAATGAGTGCGTCTTTCCTTAAAGTCAGAACTGAGGTGGCAGAGGGGGAATCTATGAGAACCATCCAAGAGACAGGTGCTTAGTATCTTGTGGCTGTTATCCAGTGTTGCTAAGCAACTGTACCTGTTAGGGGCTGTAGACACCATGCTTGAACCTGAATGGAAAGCAGTCCTGGAATGTAGAGCTCTGAGGCCTGAGGGCGGAATCTGCACTGTGGGACTGGAGTCTCCTCCCTTCACCTAGAAAATAGCATCAGTGCTCCCTGTACAGGGGCCTGTCTGGAGGATTTCACGGAGAAACAGTTGTGTGTAGTTGCCTGCACCCTGAGAGATGGTACGGAAGAGCCGTCTGAGGCCACAGACATCTCTGCTGTTTAATCTGTGCTTCTCCATCGGCCTGCATGCTCTGGCCAGAAATGGAAGCTGGCGTAAAGCAGGAGCCCGTGGGGGCTGCCCTTAGGTCCTCATGCGCCTGCCACAAAGCCCTAACCCCAAGTCCAACTCTGGAAGGCCGAGGCCAGCCTTGCCACGTGGCCCTCGAGGCCCACCCTGAGTACTGCTGAACCTTTCTTCAGTGCCCGCAGGACACCCTGCACCTTCTTCCTTGAGAGTGGCCTTTCCCATCTTCCCTCAGATTTCTTTCTGTGCTGTTCTCCTCCATTAGTGATAAGATGATTCTTAAAGTGAGTACTTGGGCCTTTGGGGGGAGGGGGCTCCTGTCAGGCTCAGGGCCGCTGATGGAAGGCACCCCTTTCTTCTCCCTACTGGGGCCCGTGGGCAGTTGGGCCTTGCCTGCCAAAAGAGAAGCTGTGCTCCTCCTGGGGAGGATCCCGATCGTGATTCAACAGTAAGTGTCTAAAAGCTTTTAGTGGGCACATTAGGGTAGAGGAAATATGTCGCTGCTAAATGGCGACTTTATTAGGGGCAGGGCTGGGTTTGCTCTATTTCTGTGGGCCCCGTGTCAGATCCAGGGCTGGTCAGGCAACAGAAACTTGATGGAACTTTGGCGGGTGGCTAAGGAGGATGATTCCAGTTGTCTGTATGGTTTTGAAGGCAAATCACTGAGGAAGGGACCTGGAGAGATGTGTCACCTGTGTGGGTGTTGGCACATGAGCTCTTTGACCCTTTCCCACAAAGCTCTAGAGATGCCCATGTGGTCAGTCCCAAACTGTGTCTGTATTTTTACTCCTCTCTGAAAATCAATGCCAACAAGGGCACGGTCACCTGAGGGGAAGGAACGAGTAAGAGAGAGATGGAGATGGTGGTGTTAATAACAATGGCAGTGTTTTGAATTCCTTCTGTCAAGATCTTGTGTGTGTGTGTGTGTGTGTGTGGTATGTGTGTGTGTGTGTGTGTATGTGTGGGGGTGTGGTGGAGGTGTGATGTGTGTGTGGTGTGTATGTGTGTGTGTGGTGTGGAGTGTGTGTGTGTGGTGTGTGCGTGTGTGATGTGTGTGTATGTGTGTGTGTGTGGTGTGGAGTGTGTGTGTATGGTATGTGCGTGTGTGATGTGTGTGTGTGATGTAGGGTGTGTGTGTGTGTGTGTGGTGTGTGTGTGTGTGTGGTGTGGGTGTGCATGCATGTGAAGACCAGTGGTCAAACCCTGGAGCCATCAACCTTGTTTTATGGAGACAGCTCTGTCACAAGGACCCAAGACTGCTAACTGAGCTGGGCTAGCCAGGAGCCCTAGGGGTCCTCACTGCTGGGATTACACGCACATGCCACCATGCCTAACATTTTACCTGGGCATTGGGAATTAGACGCAGGGCCATCTGGGTAATACAGCAAGTACTTTACCAGTTGAGCTGCCTCCCAGCTCCTGCATCATGACCTTGACTTTACTTCATTTCTATTTCAGCAGAGTGATCCTTTTAGTGTCGAAAGATAATCTTTTCCCGTTCCCAGTGCCTTAATTCTTTACAGCCCCCAGTCCTGAGTTCAGAGTTTAGGGCTGTCACCAGGGTGCTGGCCTTTGATTCCTCTGGCCTGCCAGGAGGTGGCCTTTCAGGAGGGAGAGCTCAACCATCCTGCCTGGAAGAGCAGGGACAGGGACAGCTTAGCCATCTTGCATTGCACAGGATCTGAGGCTTTTCCGGAGCCTAGAGGTCTGTCTGGCTGTAGTCAGCATACACCCCACTTCCCTGCTGTCCCATGAAGGCAGAGTGACCTCAGATTCACCACTGCCAGGGCACACCTCGGAAGCTGGGAGCACAGACGTGTAGTTACTGTTTGCTCAGGGAAGCACTGCTGGAGAAAAAGGAGATGACACGGGGTTTAGGCCAGACGTCATCACACTAGGTGACAGGTGGAAGTTTGCCTTCGGGGAGCTCAGCAACTGGGCTGCAGTCTGGATTGTTCTAAAAAAGGGTAACTTGGGAAGTCAGTTCCAGAGAACCACATTCCTCGTCCCATATCTCCAGAGGGGAGTGGCAGTGTAGCTTTAGGGAGTGACTGCCACCTAGATGGGACTCATCCTGCCTGGTGTCATTTACCAGCTGAGTGACCTTGGGCAGCTTGCCCAAGCGCTCTAGGCCTTGGTTTTCTTATCTGGAAAATGGGACTAAGCTGTCCCCTCCTCTCTGGAAGCAGAGAGATGTGTCAGGTGGCTGATTTGTGACTCTTGATGTCTAAGGTGATTCTTTGACAGTGATGGGCAGCTGGGCCCAGAAAAACAAGGAGGCTCAACTTAGAGCCCATCACCTAGATTTCTCTACTGTGGACTGTGTCCTTCCTTCAATTTGGTCTGGCTGGCCTCAGACCCTGCTTCTCTGATCCAGCCTGGCCATGTCTACTGGGCCTGTCTACTTCCAGACTGTTCTGTGACCTCACTCATGGCATGCTTCCAGGCCTGGTGGCCTTCTCTGTCATGCTACCACTGATGGCTGGCTTAGTGTTGGAGATCATCCATCCTGTAATCGCATACCAGCCTGGCCCTCGGAGCCCCATTTCTCATGGGGTCTTTTAGTGAGCTTCTACCTGACTGCCTGGACCAGGAGAGGCAGGAGGTATATGGCCTCTGCTTCAAAACAGAGAACTGTCTCAGATAGAGAAGGAGCCTGCTTTCTCCATGTTGCACAGCTGCACGGCCGGCTTCTGACTTAGGAAGTCACCGCTCACGATCAGGAGTGTCTTGTCCAACTCAAATCCAGTGTAGATGTGGAGACACAGGTTGGATTTTTCCAGTGGAAGGCCAGGCTGCTGCACAAACAACCTCTCAAGCCCCGGGTCCAGGCCGTAGAAGCCGGAGGACTTCTTCCTCGCCTCTGGTCCTCCTGTCCCCATCTGGGTACCTGTTCTTTGCACTATCTAAGCCACCCCTGAATAGGCAGGAAGTGGTTTGAGCACTGCCACCAGACTGTGATCTCTGGTCACTTGTGGGGGTGGGAAGTGGTGACATGTTTTTCTCACCTCTGTGAGAAGAGGGGCATTGCAGCCGGGGGAAGGAAGCAAGTGCGAAACCCTCTAGGCTGTTTCCTCTGTGCTGTGGCCTTGCGTTGGTGGGGAGCTTCCCTGAGATGTTGCTGGGTCACCCAGGGTGCAGCAAGCTAGGGGGAAGCCTGGGCTGGGTACCTCAGTCAGGGAGAATTTGGTGGCTTTCCCCTGGCAGCAGGCACCCTAGGAAGGAGCCTATCTCTCTCTCTCTCTCTCTCTCTCTCTCTCTCTCTCTCTCTCTCTCTCTCTCTCTCTCTCTCTCTCTCTCTCTCTCTCTCTCTCTCTCTCTCTCTCTCTCTCTCTCTCTCTCTCTCTCTCTCTCTCTCTCTCTCTCTCTCTCTCTCTTCCTTAAGGCTAAAGCTGAGACCAGTTGGAGTGGGGTTCACTGACTGGGTCTTGTTCCTTGTTCTTGTGGGGGCATCTTGTGATGGATGATGGAAGTGACACACTGTCCCCCACCTCTGCTCCGCAGAACCAGGGATTACCACTAAAGGGAAATCGTACACCGGCCTGGGCAAGAAGTCCCGGCTGATGAAGACAGTGCAGACCATGAAGGGCCACAGCAACTACCAGGATTGCTCAGCCCTGAGACCACATGTCCCGCATTCAAGCTACGGCACCTATGTCACCCTGGCCCCCAAAGTCCTGGTGTTCCCTGTTTTTGTGCAGGTGAGCCTGTGGCATGTCCCAGGGTTTCCTCGGGAGGAAGTGAGCACAGACCGGGGTCTTGGTTCCAAGACTGAGGATGGAGCCTCATCTAGGATCAGAGCCCTCTTTGGGATAGAAAAATGGCTTCGTATTGTGGAGATTATCAGGGAAGCAGAAGTTTCCAGAGGCTGTGCAGAAAAACACAGAGGCACCAGAGGGTCTTCTCCTCTCCTTCCCAACTTCCTCACCCTCTGGGGCTGGGAAAGGCACGGCACGAAGTCCGGCAATGCTGTCAGCGGCCTCACCCGCCGGAGACGATGTTTGAAACTGACTGAGCGACAGCTTGTGTGGCTGTACTCAGGCACACACGCCCGGCCGGCTGGCATTCACCACGCAGGGGCCGCACACCTCCTCCCTTTCTTCCCTTCTTCATCTCTCTCCTTCCCTCTTCCTGTCAGTGACAGCATACAGAGTCTTAGGTTCCGCTGTGGCATTGTCAAACATAATTGTTTCTCTCTATCCTTTCCAATCCTCCTCTCCCACACTCCTGCCCCCAGAAGCTTTCTCCCCTCGATGTCACACGTGTTCTGTTTCCCCCTCTCTTCAACAACCCCCCCCCCCCCGCTTGTGGTTCCTTTCTGGTCATGTGACCCATACCCGCACCCACGTGTGTACATGCGGTAAAAGCGCTTAAAGTAGACTCTGCATATGAGAAAGCACACACTGTATCCGTCTTCCTCAGTTTGGGTTACCTTGCTTAATGTCTTTCCTAGATCTGCCCATTTTTTCTGCAAACGCTGAATGAAATTCATAGCACATATGTACCACATTTTCAACATGAGGGTTTTAAAAATGAATATGTAATTACAATATGACCTACTCACACTGCTTCTGAATATATGTTCAAAGGACTCTAGACAGAGTACAATTTTTTTTAATTTAAATTTTTTTTGAGAGAGGGTCTCTATATAGCCCTGGATATTCTGGACCTTACTATATAGACCAGGCTGACCTTGAATTCACAAAGGTCCACTTGTCTCTGCCTCCTGAGTTCTGGAATTAAAGGAATGTGCCACCATGCCCAGCTTAAATTAGTTTTTAAAATAATAGAAACTGAAAATTTTTAAATTGTGAAGTATTCAAGTTGGGCAATGGTGGTGCACACCTTTAGTCCTAGCCCTCAGGAGGCAGAGGCAGGCAGAGCTCTGAGTTGGAGGCCAGCCTGGTCTACAGAGTGAGTTCCAGGACAGCCAGAACTACACAGAGAAACTCTGTCTCAAAAAATAAAATAAAATAATCAAGATACAACACTTAATTGTGCAAAACAAAGAATTAGAGGGTAAAGGACAGCCAGCAGCTGTGCACACAGAAGCTGTCCCATCTCTCCTTATTTAAGGCCCTCTTCCCAGCAGAGACCATCGCTACCCACCCCGCCAGTCTGGCGCGGTGACCAGACTTGCTTTGCTCTCTATCAGTTTCCTGTCTGTATACGGATACCTGAGAGGTCTCCAGCCTCCCTTTGGTGCTGGAGCTCATAGTTGATGCTTGTTTCATTATCTTTCTGCCGCCCCTTGCTTGAGGTCAGCGGCTGGGGCCATGTGATAAACACACACTCCCAAGGACAGGTGCTTTTGGGTGGTCAGCCAGAGTTTGGCTGTGCTCCTTGAGCTGGACTGGACAGGGTGGCAGGATGAGGAGCTGGGGTAGGAAATTGGTTGCTGGGGAAACCAATGAGGTGAAGGAGTCAGTTTGCTCAGCCTGGGACCTGAGCAGGGCAGGAACCCACTTGACCTTGAATTGATGTGAGTGGCCAAATCTCTTGGCTTGGGGCCCTCAAGATGCCTCCTGGGCCTGACAGCAGGAGACCTTCCCTGTGAGGCTTACACCCGACAGAGGAGGGCTGGGAGGGCCTAGGAGCTTGTTGGTGTGGGGCGGGTACCAAGGGGAGGACTGCAAAGGCTGAACTTCCTGTAGAGAGAGCAGCTCTTTTGGTCAGGCCTGGCTGCGCAGGGCTGGAGCAGTCTCTCTGTTTCCACTGTGGGTGTGAGGGGTGCTGGGGTCAGGGGTAGGAGGCGGGCGGGCAGTCCTCTCCCTCTGCAAGAGAGTTCTCTGATCTGGCTTTGGCAAGAGGCCCTTTGTGCTCCCACTCAGCCTGACTGGTTTTCAGCCCCTAGATCTCTGCAACCCTGCCCGGACACTCCTGTTGTCAGAAGAGCTGCTGCTGTATGAGGGGAGGAACAAGGCTTCCCAGGTAAGGCGTGCCCGCCCGGCTGACTTCCCTGCTGGGCTTCCTTACCCCTCCCCTGCTCTCTACAACTCCCCCCCAAAGCCTTACCCAGTGGCTACCCAGCCTTTGCTTGTCCTCTTCTTACAATCTCACTGCCTCTGAGAGCTGATCACTGATGTGGCCAAAGCATGTCAGCCTCTAGCTCCTGAGACCCTCACTGTTTGTCCTGAGTGCCTCCAGGGAGGGGAAAGATGGCAGCTCACCCCAGCTGAGAGAAGTACCTCAGAAGTTTTAAGTTGCTGGCCAGAGAGCATTGTTAGAGGGGTGTTGGAGTCTTTCTGTATGAACCCATCCCAGACCCTCTTCTGAGAGCTCGGTACCTCTCATAGCCCACCACACCCCCACCCCCGCCCCCAACCCGGGCTCTAGCCCTGTCAGCAGGGGTCAGGGGGAGGGCTCCTGTCATTCTTCCTGGGAGCCAACCTATCTCTGGCTGGGAGAACCTCCCTCACACACAGTCGGCCAGGTCCCGGCTCAGTCCTAGGATGGAAACCGTTCAAGGGACCTCGGAGGCTTGTGGCTGCTCAGGCTCTGATGCAGAGCCAGCTTTGCTAGGATGTATGGCTCTTTGGGATGTTTCCTGTGGAAACATCAGGAAGCTTGGAGGCAGAAGTCTAAATCCAGCTCTGTTCCTGGCTTCTGGGGACTTCTGCTTTCCGTATCAGTCTTTTCATCTGAGTAATGGGTTTGTGCATGATCTAGACAGAGGGCAGGCCCTGAGGCTGGCCCCTTGCAGCTTCCTTGTCCTGGGCATTCTGTATGACTGGAGCTATCACAAGAAGTTGGCCTGGCTTTTGTTTTGTTCTAAGCAAGCGAATCAGAACACCGGTGTCTCCAGTGAGTACTGTCTGTTTTATGGGAGCTGCCCGGGGAGACCCTGTGCTGATGACGCTGACAACAGGGTCTTTCACAGTCTTGTTGTGCGTGACCCTAGGGCGTAAGTGCTGGAGCAGTCAATCATCAAAGACTGGCCTGGGACAGTAGCTCTGTGTTTGTTGTCTTAGGCCAAAGAAGGTCAGTGGATGCCAGCTCTTCAAAGTATGGAAAGCAGAGTGCAAGCTTTGCCAAGAGAGGCTACAGACAGTGAAAAATTGAGGGAAACCAAGCAAACTCCGAGAGCTCATGTATGCATGTGCATGCATGTGTGTGTGCGCGCGCACACACACACACACACACACACACACACACACACACACACACACACACACACACAGGTGCGCACATGTGTCCCAGGGAGGAGAAGTCCATTGGTTTTCCTTCGTTTATCTTTTATGAAGCAATGGCAGAAACTCAAAGAAAGCTGATGTAGTTTCTGTTGAGGTTGGTTCATTCTCTGGGCTGTCATGGGACAAGCCAATGGAGAGACCACACACTGTATGCCTGTTCTCTTGGTCCGGCCAGGGAGATGGGCCGTGCACGGCCCACGTGTTGCTGCCCAGTGATGGGCGGTTGCAGGCCTGCTCTGTTCATCTCTGACTTCAGCTTTGACCTTGGCTCTCTGAGTTCTTGGTCACTTGACTTGGCCGGCTACCCTCCAACCTTGCAGGCGTCTCAAGGGCTGTTAGCTATGCTAAGCTTCTCTCCTTTACAGGATCAGCTTGAGGCTTTACCATGGCAGAGGGAGTTAACTCTATCCTAGCCACCAAGTGGGGTGGTCCAAAGTGTCTCTTAGGAGGAAGCTTCTTGCTAGAAGCCATCCAGGCTTACAACTTAGTCTGTCACAATCAGCTGCATTAGAATCAAGGATAGATCAAAGAACAATGGTGTCTTGTATATGTTCGGAGGGGCTCCCAGAATCAGGGGCCTGCTGTGACTGGCCCAGAGCCCTGTCTCTCCTCTTATCTGGCCAGCTTCAGTGTCTCATGCCCAACTACAAGCCTGACTGCTAATTTAACTAATTTAACTCTTACCCTCCCTTGCAACCCCAGCCTCTGTGCTTACTGCAGTTCTCTGGCTGGGTAACACTTTCCATGATTCCTGATGCTTTTGGTACATTTGTTAAAGACAAAGGAAGGGAAGCCAAACTACAGGACATTTCACCCCCCCCCCCCCCCCCATGCATCCTTGCCTCCCGTATCTTTGGAGACTGAGAACTAAGATCGAAGGAGGTGGTTTGAGGACAAGAAAATTAAATACATCCCTTCTCCTTGAAGTAGGATAGCAGCCACATAGAAGGACTTTGTTATCATCTCGTGCTCCTCCAACTGAAAACGGAAAGTGGCTGTCATGGGCCTGGGTAGCTTCTGAGAGCTTTAGTATCCTTGAGCCCCCCGGGAGTCACAGATTCTAGTTACTTTTGTGTCCCTTTCCAGGGGATAACTTTTCACAAAGTGGTTTCTGAATGAGCACGGCAGCCTCTCCACTCCACAGCAGTGGGGTCATTAACTGGATAGTGCTCAGCAGTTGGGCACTCTGCATTCCCTGGATGCACCCTGCCTCAATACCTCTTTTCTGAGCAGTCTGATGTTGGGGAGCAGCTCCAGTCCCGCAGCACAAACTGCTCTGCCCCCTCCCATCCAGAAGTCACAAACTTGCTGGTTGCATATCCAGATGAAGCTGGCATTTTGTGGTGGCCTTTTTGTTCGTTTGTTGTTTTTGTTTTTTCAAGACAAGCTTTCTCTGTGTAGCTGTGGCTGTCCCAGAACTTGCTTTGTAGCCGAGGCTGGCCTTGAACTCATTCTTCCTGTCCTGGAATTAAAGGCATATGGTTCAGCCTTGGGTTTGTGGCTGCCTCTTACACACACCCTGACAAGTGCTCTGGTCATTGAGGGTTCAATCAGGCCTTCCCTAGGTTCCCGGAATACCGTGAGGCCCGAGATGCCACACACTCACTCTCAGACTGACTCATCAGGGTTACCATTAGCTAAAGCACCAAGGTGTTGTCTGTCAACACAGCTTCATGGCCTGGTTCCCAGGAGAAGGCTTCGGTTAGGGCCGCTTGGAAGAAGCTACCGTCTGAGTTGTAAGGATTCTGTGACTAAGTCTTGAAACTCTGGGAAATGCATGTGTCCTGGAAGCCCATGAGAGGAAGACTCGGAAGGTCCCAGGGCCAGTGGTGGGCAGCGGGTGAGGGCTGTGCAGATGGGTCTCTATGAGCTCCTGCCCGCAGGATGCTGGGGAGCAGGGTTCACACGCTCTGCTCTGGCACGCCTGTGCCAGCCCTGACCTTTGCCTGACCGACCTTTGGGGGAAATTTTCTCTCATGCCTTAATCACTTCCTGTCTAGACCATATTCTCAGCTCTGGGAACCAGGCTGGGACAGAGGCCTCGCGTTTTTCACACCTTGTTGTGGCCCCTCCCACAGACTTCCTCTACCAACCTTCCTTCTGCCAGCTTGCCTGTGGGTCTGGGGGTAGCAGCCAGACCTTCCTTGATTGGCGGATATGTTTCCATGGGAACATGAGGGTTTGCCTAGAGTTCCTTGACTTTGCAGACCCCTCCTCGGACAATCCGTTACTTCTGACGTTCCTCTGTCGCTTTCCTTCCCCACTGAATGTGTCGTCTCCTCTGCTGCAGGCACAACACCCCCATTCTGTCTAATGTGAACATTAGGAACAGGCAGACCTGAGGAATGACCCCTGGCTGTGTGGCTGTGGGGAAGTCACTTAACCCGTCTGAGCTGTAAAGGCAATGGTATTGTTCAGGGAGGACTTAGTAAGGCCAGCGTGGGTACTCAGCAGCTGGGATGCTGTGTGGAGACGGGGCTGGGGAGGATTCACTATAAGATTCTAGCCAAGAATTCTTGAGATTTTGTGTTTGGGACCTCTTAGAAGGGACATAGCCCTGAGGTAGCCTACTTAAGGACATCCCTGAATTGTCTCTGTGGTCCTAAGTTCTTCCAGCTTCTGTGTTTGCATGATCCTCAAGATGGCAGGTGGGCCATCTCATTATATATGTATCTATATGCATATATAAACACACACATACACACGTATGTTATGTATGTATGTGGAGAGAGAGAGACAAGCTCTCACCACAGGTTAGCTCTGAGCTCATTGTGTACCCTGGGACAGCCTGTAACTCTCAGTTCTCTTGCTCAGCTACCAGACTGTCAGGATTGTACATGTATATAACTATGGCTGGCTTTTATTTTTTTAACTGCAGAGGCGCCTCTGAGAACACCCTTAAACGTTCATGTTTATATACTCTTGTACTTCTGTAGGAGAGCCTCAGAGGTGGGACTGTGGGGTCATCTTTAGCAGCTGGCTAGCTCAATGTCAGCACGCTGGCTTTTTAAGCATGGTTAGCAAACCACACACTCACTGTGCCTTCAGGCTGGTTCTTCTTGCTTTAGAAGATATGGCATGTCAGGTTTGGCCCCTCAAAAAGGAGTTCTCACAATTGGTAATTCTTTATTATTATTATTGTTATTATAAAATCTGAAATAGGAGTGTATGACTTTAAGGAAAGGCTACTACTATAGGGCGGACAAAGGAAAGGACATAGAGAACTAAGTGGGGTTCTTTTTTTTTAGCATAAAAATATGCTGAGCACATCTGTCATTTTACCTATAATGTCTAAAAGTAGCCTTTCCTTTGTTTTTTGGAGCATAGAGGATATTAGTGGTTATGTACAAGCCTGTATCAGAACATAAGTAACCACTGTTTTCTTGAACCAATTTCTCATTGGTACACTTCAAAAAGATCTGCAAGAAATTTGGTAATATTATTCTGTGATGCTTCCCTTCACGTTACAGAGGGCTTGAAAAAAAAATCTTGAAGGAATCATGTGTGGGGTGAGGTCTGGGGATACCCCAGGGCCTGAATAAGGCTCCTGCAGGTGAGATGAGCCAGGGAGAAGTCTAGAAAACTAAGGGACACACTGGCTGCCTCCACTGCAAGGCAGGCTTCTGTCACAGGCAGGGTTGCCCTTGGGAGCTCCTTGTGACTCTGCCTGATGCAGCATGGGTGTGTTTCCTGGGCCTCCGGTGGACCTTGTGGCTCCCTGCCTCCTGGGGGACTGCAAAGCAGACAGTGGTGTTTGTTCTTCCCCTGAACAGGTGACACTGTTTGCCTACTCAGATCTGCTGCTCTTCACTAAGGAGGACGAGCCAGGCCGCTGTGATGTCCTGAGAAATCCCCTCTACCTCCAGAGTGTGAAGCTACAGGAGGGTAAGAAGGCCTGAATACCCCAGGGGCAGCATGCTGGCCAGCTAGGGACTCTGTAGAAACTTGGCTGCCGGTTTCAGTGGGGCCCTTGAGAATATGTGGTCATGTCTGCTTGGGGCTGGTGGATTTTCAGATGTCACGCCCTAGGCTGGCTAGCTTTCCACTATACCTTGATCTCTGCAGGGGGTTTCTATTCTAGGGATTCAAGAAGGGCAGGGAGAGCTTTGAACCCCAAGACCTGTGTCAGGCCCCACGATTCTGGTGTGGCCTTGGGGAAGTTACTTAACTTCTCTGAGCCCATTTCCTCTCTGTGAAGCAGGATGATAATAGCTTCAGAGGCTTGTGTTAAGTTAGGTCATTTATGTAAAGGGCCTTGCTCCAAACAGGTTCCCAATAGAGGCTTCTTGACAGTCATCTGTGGACACTCCTTTTTTAGCTGGCTGTGTGGGCCTCGCCAGAGCCTTAGGAAGCTGGAGCATGCAGCAAGCTGGGAATTTCTAACCCAAAACTTTCCATGGTTCCCTGGCCCACGGGGGACCAGGGAACGGAAAACCAGCTGGGAGTATCTGTCCAGCCACAGGCTTTGGCGCCTGAGGTCTCAGCTGAAAGGGGCTCGGTTTCCTCTCCCAGATTATGCAAACAACAACAGACCTGTGTGAGCTCAGGGCAGCAGGGGCACGGGGAGGAAAATATTAGCCTCGAGAGAATTCTGTTTTGGCGGGTTTTGCTCCAGAACTTCCTGACTACTTGCAAAGCCATCCTGTGTGCTTGGTGCCCTGGCCTCCTGGAGAACTGCCCTCCCCATGGGATGTCCTTCACAGCCCTCCCTCTCTAGCTCCGTCCTAGCAGGACTAGGGTGGCTACTGATGGAGAGCAAGGGAGGCCACTAAGGAGAGAGCAAGACACCCACCCTCGAGGCCAGCCCATGAGGCAGTGGGAACAGCAGGCCTCTCGGCTTCCCAGGCACTGGCTCTGGTGTCCCGGATGGCTCCTCTCCGCCCTCCAGTGAGTTGTACTAGGCTTCTTGCTGCTCTCCCACCTTCCCCTGTGCTCACACACTTACACAGGGTGCTTCCTAGAGTCAGCCTGGCTTCCCTGCCCTGCCCCCAGCTCAGCTGATCGGGGACCTGCTTAAACTGAATGAGCACCCAGCAGAGCAGTGCTCAGTACCATGCACCAGGGCCTGAACCCTGACTGCTGCACACACTGAAGGTCCAGGGCCACAAGCCCAAAACTCTCACTGGCTCGCCCTCTAGGGAGTGGGGGTGCCCTGCTCAAAACCTATATCTGAATGTCCCCAGTTCCCGCGAGCCCCCAGTGGCTTCCTGCCGGTTCCAAGGTGAGAATACTAGAAGCAGCCACAGATGGAACCCACCGGGCTCCTGGGGAAAGTTGGCTGGTCATCATATCACCCTGCTCCCTGCTGGGGTATAGAGTCTGGGGGCTGACTGGGTTTCCCCTCCTGGAGCCCCAGGGCCTGGACTTGAAGTTTGGGAGTGTAGACACACTCTCCTGTGCCAGGCAGTGATGTTCATGGTGGGTGGTAAGAGCCGAGGGGTGCAGAGGAGCTCCCCAGAAACTGAGCTGCATGCAGAAGTGGCCTGGGGCTGAGACCACGTCTGCCTGTAGATGATGGGGCAGCTGTAAAAGCTGAGGTCAACGACGTGAGAGCCCATCTCAGGCAAGGCGATCGTGGACATGAGAGCCTGTGGGGTCGGCACCAGAGTTCCTGGGTTTGAGAGTGACCTCTAGGAAGCCTGGAGCTGCTGGTCTGGAAGGTACATGGTCCAGGGCTTAGATTTCTTTCCAGGCACCAAACAGAGCCTTTGTACACCGCCCCTGCCTGCTTTCCATGTACTACCGAAGTCCAGTACCCCTTCTGCCAGAGTCACAGCTGTGGGTCCCAAACCAAAGTCCCAAGGTTGGTGCCATTTCCTGGCCTTTCCCACACGCCCCAAAGAGGCTCACTACTACAGCAAGCCAGGCTTTCAAGAGGTCATGTGAAGGGTTAGCGGGAGTGTCTGGAGGCAGAATGGTCTAACTAGACTCCCAGGTTTCTTCTCTACTTCAAAGGCAGTATGTATGCAGATTTCAATTTCGGTGGCCAAGAAGTTGTTAAGCGCTGCTCCCTGGTAGGGCGGAATCCAGCCTATCCCTGGGACCAAGGACTCTCTTGTGACTTGTTTGCTAGGGCCTGTCTCTGCTTCTCAACCATATTCCTAGGACTTAGTAGGGAGCATGGCGTACATTAGGTGACCAGTGGATGCTTGCTTTTGTAAACAACGAATGGCTAACAGAAGACCAGAGTGCCGTCTTAGCTTGGCAGCTGGGATGTCTCCTCCCGAAGAGCTCCAGACTCAAGGTCACTCCTCTGGTGACTGCCTCCTTCTGTCAGCTTCTCCCAGGGTTCGTCAGGTTTGAATAGCGATGTGATGGGAACAGGCTGGTACTAACAATTGGATCATCTCCGGTCAGCCGGGGCCCATTGTGGTCTCTTCCTGCCGCTGCTGCCCGCTGGTTTTGCTACTCTTTGTGTTTCTGCCTCCCCAGCAGCCAGCATCACGCCCACTGCGTGTCTTTCTGGCCTTGCCTGTTCTTAGACATGACCTGGAAATGTTTATCTGACTCACGGCTCTCCAGGCACATTGGGGAGCCGGGATCCCAGCTTGGAAACTCAGCTGCCTCAGCCCCAGCTGCTAGAATGCCTGCTTGACATTTTCTAAGCTGTCCTCCATGTCCACCTCGGTTCTGGCCAGTGCAGTGAGAGCTGTGGAAGAGGCCTCTCCACTCTGGAGCTCTGAGCCAGCTGGAATCACAGATGTATGACATAGGGTTAGGAATCCAGGCTTTGTGGGTATCTCTCTGTCCTGGATTCAGATCTCAGCTCCACCACTTAATGTCTATGAAGTTTGCTGTCCCTCCCTGTCCCTGCCTTTGTTTGTGGAGAATGTAGACAAGAGCTCTCTTGGCCAGCCTCCAGCAGTGGAGAAGGTTTTGTGACTCTCAAACCGGTAGTGAGATGTTCTCTGGGTAAATGTTAGATAGCAGGCATGGGCTGGGATGCCTTCTCTGGCCGATACCTAGCCCATGATCAGGGAACCTCCTGCATGGTCTATATATTACATTGTGGGACTAAAGGCCCCTTTGGAACTAAAGGCTCCCCTGATGAATTCCAAAGTGACAGAAGCAGGAAGTGTTGTTCAAGGAGAACCCCCATGTCTGCTGTCCTCGGTGTCCCGGTGTCCCTCTCTTCCAGCAGGACAGAGGCTCTCTCTGCAGACACTCCTCCCAGACGCCCTCAGTCCCCTCCGTTTGTGCTTTTATGAGGCTCTGCTCCCCTGTGGTCCTCTTGTCTGTCACACTGCCGCCAGCACCAGGCCATGATGCGGAACAGATGCCAGGGAGTCTGCAGCATGCAGTGATGCGGGGGGGACACTGGCGTCAAAGCACATGCAGTTGTCACTCACAGGCTTCATGGCACAGGGACTGTCTGACAGTGTGCTTTTCCAGCCTCGGCTCCACCTCCCCAAGTCTCATCTCTTAGCCTTTCTCTGCACTGCTAGAGCCTCCTCTCCCCTTACTGCCTGCTCCCCAAGCCCAGGTTTCTATTACTTTCTTATTTGGATTATAGTGACTCTCCTTTATTCTAGGGTCTGCTAGGAAATGTTTTCATAAGCAAAGGAAACTCCTCCCCTTATCTCCATCTCACCAGCACAAGGAATCCTTTGAGGCATTGGGATCTATTTTCTTAGACACTACAGACTTCTGAGGCAGGGTTCTCTCCCTCTTCAGCCCGTCTCCAGGTGAGGAGAAGTAGAAAGATTTAGTCCAAGTCCAGAGTGGACCTCCATTTACTTATGGGATATTTTGTCCTGGCTCTGCCGGGCAGCTCCTGCCCCTTGGGTGTGCCCACTCTCTTGCTTGAGGAGGTCTAATTTTCCCTGGCTAGATCTCTGCTCCCTGCATTTTTAGAGCTTGGCTTGATATACAGTTTGGTTGTGTATCAAGAACCTTCTAGGCTTCTCTTCATAACAGACCCTGTTTGGTTTGATGGTTCCTTGGCCTTAAGTATTCTTTGGGGGGTCCTCCTGGAGCGTGGCATTCGAGAGGCATGCTCTGCTGTGGTTGAGTGTGAGCCACTGCTTGGTCAAGGAACTTTACCTCTTGGGTCCTCTGTTCTCACACAAGCCTAGGATGCTAGGGGCCCTGTGTCCTGGCTGTCAGGAGTGAATACAAGAGCAAGTACTCTCTCACGGCTACTCTCAGCCCTTGAGCTGACTGGTGAAAGCATTTGGGGCAGCAGTTGGCTCAAACCAAGATGGTACTCCAGGGTCCCTGACACTTCAAGTGTTTGCTGTTACACGTGTTGGGTAGTTGCTTTCTTCAAAAACTGACACCCTGCTTGGTAAGGGCAACATCAGAAATGCAGGGAGTTCCCAAGCCTCCCAGGTCTGTGTCCAGATGAGTGTTTCATGGAGAGTGTAGCCAAGTCCTGAGGAGAGGCTGAAGTGAGCAGGCAGGTGTCCTGGTGGGGCGTGCATGCCTTTCTGTTCTCACCGGCACCTCTCCATCTCCATGCCCATGGCCACACTGTCCCCACCTCACAGAGTTCCCTTCCTTTCCATCTGGGGTTCTCCCACAGTTAGACTTCCCAAGAAGGGAAGGGAACAGCCCACATCCCTCCCTGTTCTTTCCAGTTTTGTAACTGGTTGAGTTTGCATCCCTAGAGCAACAGTGACACCCTTAGAGAATGTGGCCATGTTGAAGAGCTGTCTCCGAGGATGCATAGAGATGGGACTAAAGACTGTCCCTCCTTGACCTGTGCTTCCCTTTGTGAGGAAAAGGCCCACTCAGGAATCAGACGGCTCCCTAATGAATTTCAAAATAGCAAAGGTGGTGGAGTGTTTGAGGCAGAGGCTCGAAACCTGTGGGTCTCAACCCCCTTGGGGTTGAATAGCCTTTTTTTTTGTAGGAATCACATATCAGATACATCAGATGTTTACATTATAATTCCTCGCAGTAGCAAAATTAGTTAAGAAGTAGCAATGAAAATTTACGGTTGAGGGTCACCACAACACAAGAAATTGTGTTAAGGGGTCACAGCATCAGGAAGGTTGAGAACCACTGGTTTAAGAGAAACCCCAGAAGTGTGCTGCCTCTATGGCAGAACTCTTGGGAATTCTGGGAAGGAGTTCTTCTGGGATGCAGATAGCTCCCTGTACCTGGCCATTAGACGTCAGAGGGTTTCCTTCTGGGAAGGGGTCCCAGAATTCCCTGGTCAGGCTGACCTGCAGGCAAAAGCCTTCCAACTGTGCATCACCTGGACAAGTGAGTTAGTGAGCTTTGCTCTAGAGACTGCTCTGCTCTCCACACCTGCCCTTTCCTTCCTCTTGTTCAGGAAGGCACCACACACACAGCCTCCTGGGTGACATAACTGGCTGCACCCAGCGAGGCTTTGACTGTAACTTTTTTTTTTTTTTTTTTTTTTTTTGGTTTTTCAAGACAGGGTTTCTCTGTGGCTTTGGAGGTTTGGAGGTTGTCCTGGAACTCCTTCTTGTAGACCAGGCTAGCCTTGAACTCATAGAGATCTGCCTGCCTCTGCCTCCTGAGTGCTGGGATTAAAGGCGTGTGCCACCATGGCCTGGCCCTGTGTAGCCAATTCTAATGTGAGTCTTCCTTTCTGTTCTCATCAAAGGTTCCTCAGAAGACTTGAAATTCTGTGTGCTGTACCTGGCAGAGGTGAGTCCCTCTCTCCAATTTGGAGAAGAGTAGAGTGTGACCTGATACTCGAGGAAAGAGATGGTACGAGGCTTGAGGTTGGCCTCCTTACAATCTTGCAATGACCCAGGACAAAGTCAGGAATAGTTTCTTGCTCTGTAGAGCACAGCTGACCTGGTTACCTCTGTGTGAAAGGCAACTAAACAGATGGCACCCAGGATGGCCCCTGCAATACCCTGCTTGGGACCTCGAGTGTCCCTGCGCCTGTAGGTGTCCTGAGGGTGTGGCCCAGCAGCTGCGTACTGTCCTGTTTATTTATTTATTCGCTCTTCTCCTGGAGATGGCCCAGCTCACATGCCCGCCCCGTTCACCCTTTTTCCAGGAAGTGCCACCCACCACCCCTCCTACACAGGCTTGTCAGTGTTTCAAAGGCCTCAAGTAATTGTACCTTCATCTGGGCCAGACAGCTCACCTGGGCCAGCGAGCACCACGTGTCCGTGTTTGGCTCTGAGAGATGCCCTCGAGAGGGACTGACACTCTTGGTCTCTGACAAGAAGGGCGTGAAGGCTCTAGACAGCTGTACCTTTTCAGGAGCAAAACCAAGTAAACAGCCTACAGGTGCAGGGACACCCGAGGTCCCAAGCAGGGCTTTAACCAGAGAGGTTCTTGGTTTCAGGGTGCTCCCTGCAGGTAGAGCAGGGGTGGGAGGTGAGTGGAGCGGTCGAGCTGGTCTCTTCCCAACGATGACTCAGACCCTCCCCCCATTAGTTACCAGGGAGAGAAAACACACACTGAGTCGGGAGTCTGTCGAAGCAGGATCTCGATTTATTCCAACAAGCAGGATGGGAATTTTAGGATAGGGTAAGGTGACATGAGGAGTTAAGGGCCAATAGGCAGATAGCCAGGCAGGGGGCAATCTTGCATCAGGTCTGGCTGAGTCACCCCACGTGGAGGTTACAGGTTAGAGACAGATCGCCAAACTCTAGCCAGGCTCAGGAGCTTACATTGGGCCTCTCATCCAAGCCTTTCTTAGGCCCAACACTTGGTGATGAAAACTCTGAGGGCCACCAGGTTATCCAAATTCTCTTGGGTTTCTAGTGTAATTTTCTGTCCCAGCCTTGTTCTGCTGACTGGTGGTGTTTGCCACAGCAAGGCCCATCCGTGCCCTTTACTGCCTTGCCAGCGGTCCCGGGAACCTGTCTACATGGATCGGGGACAGCCGTCTGAGAGGAATACACCTTTCTAAGAAGGAAAGGTGCCGTTTGGGATTGAAAAGCATTCTTTCAGCTCCTGGCCAGGATAAGAGGTGTACAGACCCCGGGGACAACAAAGTTTACTGAGAATTTCACTCGAGAGTTGCTGAGAGTTGCCAAGAGGCAGTGGGAGGCGTCGTAGTGGAACTGGGCACTCAGAACCCTGAAAGCAGAGCTGCGGACAGTGGAGGTTCGCCCTGTGTCAGCCACAGCCCAGCCCAGGCATGGGAGTGGCTGGTAAAATCCCTACAGCACCAGAGAGAGTTCGGATCCACAGAGCCAAGTGAGGCAAGCGTAGACAGGAGATACACTGTGACAGGGCTGTGCTCACTGACCCCTCTGGCTTCCCACATGTTCCATCAGCCTCTAAAATGAGGCTCCAGGTTCTCTAACAGCACGACAGCTCCCTGCCAGACTGGTGTCTTGCTCTCCTAGAGAAAAGCGCTTCTGCCCATTGCATCTGAGATCTCCTTCCTAGTTCTCTAAAGAGTGGCTATTGATCTGAGGCCTTGAATTTCCGGAAGGCACCAGGTGACCCAACCCCGAGGGACCAGGAGGGTGCATCTTTTGGGCATCTGGGAGCTGGGAGCCTCTTACCTTAATGGGCCTGCTACTAATGAGGGCTAGCCTGTGGTGCAGGGAGAATCATATTGTTTGCTGCCTGTGGTGCAGGGAGGACCACACTGCTTGCTTGCTCAAAGCCCTGAGCATTCTTGACACAGGTGGTATTGGTATTGGACCCCATGGAGATCCCAAACAAATCTTAGAATTTCTACTGAATAGTTTATTCTCTGTTGCCTAATATCCAAGTGGCACCCAAAAAAGAAACCTGGAAAGGATTTGAGGTTTTGAGAGGGATTTTTCTCCCTCTGAATTCAGAAAGCCATAACAGCTTGGTCCTGGGTTATCCTAAGAGTCTTTTTTTTTTTCCTCCTCCTTTTTGTGAGACAGACTTTCTCTGTGCAGCCCTGGCTGTCATAGAACTCACTCTGTAGACCAGAGTGGCCTTGAATTTAGAGCTCTGCCTGCCTATGTCTCCCAAATGCTGGGATTGAAATTGTGTGCCACCACTCCCGGTCTGCTCTTAAATAGTCTTAATCCCAAGGACCGGTATCCCCCAGTCCAAGAATCTGGGACAGACACAGCCCACAGCTGGCTTCACAGCATGGGACACATTGTTTGGGAACTGTTTTCTCTCTCCTTTGTAATGTGAAGAAGCTAGTTTGGGGAATGAGGAGGACCTAGATTTGCATCTTGGCCCTGCCATTTCTGGAGTGATCTGGGGCTGGTTACATACTCCTGACATAGGCAATGAGATCATACATGCAGGACTGTCATGTTAAAATGAGATTCAATAAGACAATGCATCTAAAACACTTGGCCCAGAGCCTAGCACTCAGCATCCTCAGCGAGTGGCAGCTAAGTAGTAAGTAGATCAGAGAGGGAGGAGGGGCTTTTCATGTTCCTTTACCCTCCATTAGAGGTTTTACAAACGATTCACCTATCTTTTAAAAGGAGAGCTAGGCGGACTGTCTTTCTTCCCAAGTAACACACCTACACAGTTATTATACAGCCCTGGCAAGATCACAGGTCCTGGAGGTCGTCGGGAGCTTCTTAAGATTTGGCCTCTCAGAGCCTGAGTGTGCCTTGCCTACCTGCCTCCTGGGTCATGAGGAGAGAACGTGACAAAACGAGCTTGTCATGGCAAACAACCAGGCTTCCGTTACTGCTGAAGCTGTTTGGGTTTTTACAAAGATAAAATCAATACAGAGCAAGGAGGTTAGGAAACATGGGGGTTTTAAAGAGGCCAAAAGGGGCTGGGAGTCTGGCTGGATTTGGGGTCCCCTACCTAACGCTGTGGGATAAGGTTTGCGCAGGAAAAGCCTGTGTTTGGTCCTGCAGGGCAGAGAGAAGGCGGTTGGTTGCCCCTGAGGGATCTTTAGGGTGGCTCACGGCCTTGACCTGGGTGTCCGATACTGAAGTCACTGAGTAGGTCAGAACTGAAACCGATTAATTGGGTCATTTGGAGCACACACGGAATTATGACAGATGGTTCACATGTGGGGCCAGCTGGGCAGGCAGTGAGGACTCACAGTTTGGACAGATTTGGGCAGGTAGGGATTTAGCCTCTCTTCAGGGAGCTGGCTCTCTGTCTTGGCTAAGCCAGTCTTCAAAACTCAGGCTCCTTCCAATACCGTTTGTCCATCTAAGACAGCCTGGGGTTGGGTCCTGGGTGCTGGGGAGGGCTTCTAAGTTCTCCAGCATTGTAGCCGGTTTAGTTTCAATCTGTCAGATGCGGTCCTGTCCTTTGCTGCTGAGACTGGCAGTAAGGTCACCGTCCCTAATCCAGGACACCCCTCTTGGAGGTTCTGGATTCGTTTGCTGGCTGTAGTGACCTACTGAATCCTATATAACTGTTACGATTGGCCTGGTGGCTGTCCCAGGGCCTTCCTAAGAAGTTTCTCAAGGATGTCAGTCAAATAGAATGATCATAGCTGTTCCCTCACAGGGTTGTTGGAAGAAATGTCAAGACAAGGCTGGTGAAGTGCTTGGTGCTGTGGAAGTCAGTTCAGGGTTGGGAGCTGGTGGCTCCCAAGAGGCTTTCCTGGGTCTCTGTAGAGAGAGACTTGCCATGCCAGAGTAGTAAGCTGCTGTACAAAAGCGCCAGAGAGCCCCCTGGCCTGCATACAATCCCTTCTGATGGCACTACACTCCTGTGGCCTCCAGGCTGAGACAGAGCAGTCCTGCCAGCAAGGGTGTGGACACCTCACCAGCGTCTTCCAGAGCCTGGAGATGTAATCACAGCAGGTGGTTCTCCCTGGCTTGGTATTTCTCTCTGATTCATTGGCTTTGAGACTCAGAAAACCCTTAGCCATTTGGAACCTTGGTTTTCCTCTTCCGTAAAGGGGAATAACAATTCACACCCTGGCTAGGTGTGGTAGTACATGTCTGTAGTTCAGAGGTAGCAGAAGGATCACATGTTCCCGGGCAGCCTGGACTGTACAGTGAATTCCAGGATAGCCTGAGCTAAAGGATCATGAGATCCTGTCTCAAAAATCAAGGGCTGGGAGTAGAGTGCTTGACTAGTGTACGTGTGAGCTTGGGTTTGATTCCAGCGCCACAAAAATAAAATAAGAATAAAGAATCCATACTTTCTCTGCTTCTTGAAGTTGCCCAGGTGCAAACGAGATCCCAGATGACAGACTGTGGTATAACGTCTGTAAATTAGATGGTGGATAGTCAGAGGCCCACATGGTGTGGTAAGAGCCGGGCTGGGAGGCTCAGGCTGGGCCATCTGTAGAGCCCTGGCCTTTCCAAGCTGGAAAGGACCTTCTCGGTCCCTCCCACAGGGACACCATAAGACTGAAGCAGAGCGCCTGCTGCTCGCTGGGGAATCCGAGGCTTGTTTGGCCTGCCGTAGGTCGGAGTGGCCTGGGGAGTGGAGGGACCTGACTGTAAGTGGAGCCTGGGCTTGCCACAGCTCATCCTCTCAGCTCCCTCTCCCATGCTCTTAGGAAGAAAGCTTCTCTGTACCGTGCAGCATGAGAGGGAGGCAAGCACTCCAGGGACATGGGATGAGAGGTGTCCCTGCCCTGAAGGGTTGGATGCTGAGAAATAACAGTACTGCTCAGGCCTGTGGAAGTCCTTATTGCTTCATAGCTCTGGGGTGGGGACCGTGCCACTATTTTACAGAAAGCTCTGACTTTCTAGAAGTTGGCAGCTGGGAGGTAGCAAAGCTGGCATTCAAACCAGGTGTGAAAAACGGAGAGACTGGGTCCATACATGGTCCTTGTCTCCCAGCTCACGCTCCTGTCTCCTTGGTTGAGAATTATCGCTAGTGGGGTGAAGAAGAACTTGTCATCTTCAGATCCCAGTGTCTAGTGGGGGTGGGGGTGGGGACAACAGGTCTCTGAAGACCCTGTGCCTTGGACCTACCCCACCTTGCGCGCCCCCCCCCAATCAGGGGCTGACTGTCTGGTACTGTATCAAAGCTCCCCTGGGTCTGTTGTCATCATGGAAGTTCTTCCAGGCAGCCAGAGCTTACCAAGGCCAATGCTTACCTGGCACTGTGCTAGACCCAGATGAAGAGAGCCTTCTAGGTGTTTGTCGTCAGCAAGATTCAAATGACAGCCAGATTAACTAACATTGTAGGGCCACTGACGAGAGACCCAGCTCAGGTTCGGGGTAGTGTTAGAGGGTCCCGTGACTGCCCATCCTACACTTTCCCAAGGAACTTCTGTTCTGTTGTTATATCCATCCGACCCAACTGACCTTGGCTTGTGATCTGAAGAAGGTGCTATGAGAGAAGAGTGTGTGTGTGTGTGTGTGTGTGTGTGTGTGTGTGTGTGTGTGTGTGTGTGTGTCGAGTAGGGAAGGGGGCAGTTCTGTATCCATGGAGCACCAGCTCAAGGGCTTGGTCCTTTGGGTCCCCCACGTGATCCCCAGCTGCTGCCTTGTGCTGCCTTCTCCAAGGGTGACCTCACCCTCTGGCCTGGAGCTCTCCACAGGCTTCCACTGTATAGAGAGCCACTCACTGCCTCCCCCATCCCGGTACCCACACGGTTGCCTCGTGGCTCCCAAATGGCTACTGCCCTGGCCCTCTGACCACCTCAGTGTCACCGGGGATTGGTGTGCATTTGCTGTTCTTAGCTGATGCTCCCGTCCCTGATGTAGCCTCGCCCTCTGGAGCCTAGGGGATGGGCTTGGGCCCTGGAGCCCCTGGAGTCAGGGAGCAGCCCTGACCACCCATTCCTCTCTCTTTCTCCCTGACGTCAGAAGGCAGAGTGTTTGTTCACTTTGGAGGCTCACTCACAGGAGCAGAAGAAGAGGGTGTGCTGGTGCCTGTCGGAGAACATCGCCAAGCAGCAACAGCTGTCCTCGTCGCCCCCAGAGAGGAAGGTAAGGACTCCGCTAGTGGCTGCAGCCCTGGCTGCCACCTTTCCCCTCTGCCTTTAAGCCTTGGATCTGAGCTGGAAGTCGTCCTGAGCTTAGCCCCTGACCTGGGGCAGTGAGCTTGGCAAAGGGCTGTGTTTGAGTCCTCGTGGTCCTCTATGGGTCTGTTTCATGGCTTTGACATTGCTTGCAGAAGGAGCAACAGCCAAACTGAGCACGGGCCATCAGTTTGCAACCCTGTTCTTTGGTTTGCTGATGGCAAGGTTTAACTGTCCTTCTGCTGTTGGATAGGCTGTGCCCAGGGGCAGCACACCGCTGGTAACAGACATAACTGAAGGGACGACTGTGATAGAGCTCCATAGTTTGATGCTTGCCAGGGGGCTTTGGGTTGCAGAGGCCCCGGGGCTGACTGGCTGAAACTTCAGGGAGGTTAATGGTGGCCAGTGAAGGCTGAGCTGGACCAGCGCAGCTCTGTGCCTGGGGAGCAGAGGAGCCGGGAGCTGGATCACAGCCTTCTCCTTTGATACTCGGATGTCTGCCACAAGGTCCAGTTGCTTGCCCACTATGAGTTGTTCAGGTGTCTTTCCTTATCATAAGTGCTGGCCGTTCAGAATTTGGGGTGGTGGCTGCAGAAGCTGCTGAGGTGGCAGCTCTGTCAGCTCTGGGCAAGAGGAAATGACAGGGGCCCGGAAGGTTGCCAACCTGTGGGCCCTGTTGGCTATTTGATATGTTCAGGCTACCAAGTCACTTGGCCTGGCTTTCAGAGGGGGCAGTAAGTGTGTGGAGAGATGCCGGCAGCCCCTCCCTGCAGTGGTGGACCGCTGGCTGCTCTCCAGCAAACTGGCAAGCGGGGCGTGAGGATCGGAGAACTGCACCATCCTAGGCTTTGAAAGGTATTTTAAGGGGAGAGGCTGAGTCAGACGCGGCTGCTGGCGGCTGGTGTAACTGTGGTGAGCCCCATGCTTTGCTGGCCCCAATAGGTAGTAGGTGTTCATTCAGCGAATACTAAGTGGAGCACACTGTTCTCCCAACCCCATTTCAGGTGGCACTGGCTGGTCCCCATCACCACACTCCTCCATCTTGTGACGATAAACAGGCTGCCTTACCCCTGAGGATCTGCACTGGCCACAGTCAGAGTGCGGGCCACTTCCCCTGCAGTGGTGCAACTCCCAGGTCACCCAAGGCAGCACTCAGGCTACTGTCTCCTTCCCATAGGCTCCCTTCCTCTCACCTGGGGGAAGGACGCTCTGGGCTTTGGCTCCAGAACTTGCTGGCTCCTGAGAGCCACAGCCTCTCAATACCTTGGAAATTCTCCAATGCAGGCTCACCTGGGAATGCGGGGATGCTAAAGGCAGGCTGTTTCAGAGAGCCTCTGGGCCCTGCGCAGTGATGGGCTTGGTTGGCTGACCCCGAAAATGTTCCAGCCCCCGGTTAGAGGCTGGGGGACAGCAGCTGCAGCAGCTGTTGAGGGAGAGGTGTGCTGTGTGCTGAGACGGGGCGCCGCTCTCCTGGGGAGGCGGTTACTGCAGCCTTGGCTTTAGCGAGGCAGCCCCACCCCCAGGGTGTGCGTTTTGCAGCTCAACCCTACCCAGCCACACCTCCACCTGCTTAAGGAATTTTATCAGTGAGTTCCGTGAGTCACTCACGGAGCACTTCCTGAAAGAGGTTCTGGGAAATCTGATCCTCTCCAGGCCTCTCAGTTCAGGCATGCTTCAGCAACTCTAATGACTGGGCCCACCTCTCTTCCACCTGTACTTAGCCTCAGGGTGACTGCAAACAGCCTTCCCAAAGGATGGTCTTCCCCAGGCTACACTCCTCCAGGGGGAGGAGCAAGAAAGCCAAGCAGGTCTGGGAAGCTGGCTCTTGCTTCCAGGCCTGAAGGCTCTGCTGGGCCAGTGCTGGGCTGCTGGGCTGCTGGGCTGCCGGGCCTTTCCCCTTTCGTTCACTTTGTGAATGCTCTGCCTCCCGTGGAACTGAGGACACTGTGCCTAGGCAACCTGCCCCATTCCAGGGCCTCTACAGGAGAGAGGGGCTCATACAGCAGACACACCCCTACCCCTTCCCACTCCAGCCCCTGCTCCTCTCCATCGCATTGCTCACCCTTTAGAATGTAAGCTCTCCTCCAGTCACAGTGACAGATGCAGTTTGTCCTGAGAAGGACTGGTGATGCTTATTGTGAGGACACGGGGGACGGAGGTGAACGGGAAAGTGTGTGACACAACCCTGTGGCAGCCACTCCCCCGACACTCGGAAGTCACCTGCTTGGTCCCTTCTGCTTGGTGATCCCGAGAGGCCACCTCTCTTAGGAAAACGCACTCTGGAGAGTTCTTTCTCTTTCACAACCTTCTGTGACATATGTGGGAAGGGGTGAGGGAAGGTCTGTGGTGTGGCATTGTAGGGAGTCCTTGTACAGTCTGTCTGTCTGTGTCTTTGTGTGTAGGTCAGAGTCTATGTCCGGTGTCTTCTTCATTCGCTCTTCACCTTAGTTTTAGAGATGGCATCTCTCACTGAAACTGCGGTCCCTGACTGTGCTAGGCTGGCCAGGAGCTCCAAGGACCTCCTTGTTTCAGCCTCTCCTGTGCTGGGATTGCAGGAGCACACCGCCATGCCTGGCTTTTTCTGTGGTTGCTGGGTTCCTAAACTCAGATGCTTGTGCAGCAAGCACATTGCCATCTTCTCCAGCCTCCCTTCAGCCTTTTGAGACAGGGTTATCTGTAGCCTGGACTGGCCTCAAACTCCATGTGTAGCTGAGGATGACCTTGAACTTTGGATCCCTTCTGCTTCAACCTCCCAAGTGCTACGATTACGCACGTGTACCACTAAACCCAATTTATACTGTCCTGGGAATTGAACCCAGGGCTTTGTGCATGACAAGGACGTACTCTGTCAACCGAGTTCCATCCTCAGCCCTCAAGATGTTCTTTCCCTTCCTGGGAATAAATGATCTGCCTCCTGTTGCATCCCTGCCCCCTGTCCTGTCCCAGCTTCTCTCCCCTGCTCAGCACCCATGCTTCGTCATTGGAACCCTACCCCTCCCTTGCGTCTTCCTTTCCTCTGCCTTTGATAGCATGGACCAGGCTCCCTCTGCTACACTCCTAGCACTACTGTGACACTTCTCATTAGATCTGCTCAGAGCTGGTCCATGCTGTGGCCAGGGTCTGGCTGATCTATACAGTTTGGATTATTTGATCAAGTACACACGATGAATGTGTCTTCTGTGCCTGGCATTGCTTCAGATTCTTTGGGGTCACAGAGATGAATGGCACCTCAGCTGAGTCCTTTTATGGACTTGTAATTGGAAAGGGGTGACATGGGCACTGGAGTGATGATGGAAGCGTCAGAGGCCATGCCTGTAGATCTGAGAGTTGTCCGCGGGGGTCCTGACTGTCCATTCATGGTCAGCAGTGGACCTCCCACTGGTCACCCATGCAGGTGCTTCTGGGCTGGGCTCCATAACCTTCTGAACAGAGTAGGCTTCTTTCAGTCTTCAGGGCCTGAGAGAAAGAAGGGTACATGGACCAACCCTGTTCTCAGGTGCATCCTGGGCTCTATGGAGGGATTTATCGTAGTCTCTCCTTAGCAGTCACAGGCTGGTGGTAGAGACAGACATGGCAACAGATAGTTCAAAATGACTGCATAGACATGTGAGTTTGGGAGAACCACTTATCCCCCCTGAGAAGATTTCTCCTCAGCAAAGTAGATGGGGTAGCCAGGGTTATTGTGGGGATCAATCTGGGGCTGTGTAGGGCTCTGCAGCACGCAGAAGGTCCCCAGTGAACCTGTGATACTTATCATCGTCTGTCAGTGTGACTGCATAGGGCAGTTTATTGTTATCCTTGCTTACTGAGGTTGACGCTGGTCCTCAAGCTCATGTGACAACTGTTTTTTGACATGCCCTGGTAGCTACCTGCCAGATTCTAGAGCCCTGGCAGGGAAACTGATGCCTCCTGGGCTTTCCCTGACTGTCTGACTTCCAGATGTGACACTGAGGTGTGTGTCTCCTCTGGGATGGCTAGAGATGGGTCTCAGAGATGCCAGAGACTGTCTGAGTACCTTAGAAAGAGGCCCAGGCAGGCAGGTTGTGGAGTCAGGCAGTCCTCATCAGAGTGGACAGCGAGCTAATTCCAGTTCTGTCTGGTTCCACAGAAACTTCACCCTTACGGCTCTCTCCAGCAGGAGATGGGGCCAGTCACCTCCATCAATGCCACCCAGGATAGAAGCTTTGCCTCATCAGGACAGACTCTGATTGGCTGAGCAAGCCCAAGGGCGGGACTATGCTTCTGGCAACTTAACCCTTTTGGGGCTTCCCCTACCACACAGTAACCTCATCTCAACTGGACCCAAACCGGAAGACCAAGATGGTGGGCCTAGGGGCGTCTGGAGGGAGTGGTCCCAAGGGTATGTGTGGACTGGCAGCAGGAGGAGCAGTGGTGTGAGAGACCCTGTGGGCTTGTGCAGAGTGGTACCCAGAAATCCTGGATGGAGAAGATTCTGAAGCAAGCTCCCTTCAAGCAGAAGGAAGCTGAATGTCACCTGGGCACAGCAGGAAAGAGGGAGAGGTCACTCTAATGGAGGACAATGCCTGTGACCCATTCCTGTCAGAAGATGTCTCACGTTCCCATTCCTGTTTTATCTGGACACATTTACTTCTTCAGTGGATACTGGGGGCATCTCCTTTGTGCATGTCTCTGCTAAGGGAGTCTGTGCTCCCATCAAGATTACAGTCTTCCCAGTCCTGATAGGGAGAGAACATTAAATAAATTGACACCAGTCGGTGATCATACACTGGCAGAGTCTGTATAGAACCATCACAGATGTGTTCAGAGAGCGCATCGTGTCTAGTTGTTATGTGTGAGGGTGATGCGCAAGGGTGTAGCTTATAAGCCGTGTGCGCCGAGGCCTATGGGATGGGAAGGAGCCAGCCAGCCCAAGACCTTAGAGAGAGCATTCCAGGCAGTGGACACAGCCCGGGAAGGGATGAGAAGGAGGGACCATGATGTGCTGAGGACTAGAGGGGGTTAGTATGGCTGCAGCTTTGTGAGGAGGAAGATGGAGCCAGGCCAGGCCACACTACTTGGGACATAAATGGTGATTGTTTGTTGATTCCTACATGCAGTAGGGAGCCATGGAAGGCTTTTGGGGAAGGTTGTCATAGACCCCTCAAGTGTGTGTCTACAAGATAAGATTGCAGCTAAGAAGGGCCCAGTGGGTGTGAGGCTGGTTAGGGCTCCCCTTCAGGCCTCCAGGTCAGGGATGATGGTGACTTGTTCTAGAGGGTGCTGGGATAGTGGTATCGGAATGTGGGGTAAGGAGGGGTGACTTGCTTAACCCCACCTGCCCTCACACTCCACTGAGTCTTGCTGTCTCAGTGATGTGTTGTTTAAGGCCTCCCTCATAAAAAATACCCTTCTGGTCAGTCCAGAGCTAGGGCTAGTGCTGAGCTTTTGGGAATGTCCATGCCAGTGTAACAATGAAGCTTCGTTTTTTTCCCAAGGTGGGAAAGTTCATACTTGCCCTGCCCTGAGGCTCCATAGAGATCATCTGTGTTAGTACTAACTCTCATGCAGAGGGGTATAGAAGAAAGCCTGGGCTTACACTCAGAGAACTGCCCCTTCCTCCCTCTCTCCCTCCCTCCCTCCCTCCCTCTCCTCCTCCTCCTTCCTCCCCACTCTTTCCTCTTCCTCCTTCCTCCCTCTCCCTCCTCCTCCTCCTCCTTTGCTTTCTATGGGACTTCTAAGGGCCAGGGTCCAGGGACCAGGGCTAGATGTTGCTCAGCAACCTTCACAGAGACAGAGCAAAAGGTAGCCTGTCCAGGGCCAGTGATGGGAGCTAGGCCTACTCCCTGTCCACCTACCTGGGGCTCTGGGCTGGACAGCTCGCACAGCCATCCCTAACTGCAAAGATCTAGCAGGACAGAATCCTAAGCTGTAGATTAGAGAGGCATAGGCTACATGCTAGGGGGTATTTGCATGTCTAGGTACTGGGGCTCAGAGACAGAAAACTGCAGTGATGGCCAGGGCCAGAGATGCCTCCGACCTTAGTCATTTAGCTTCTTAAGGAAGATCCTTGTGCTCTTATGAGTTTGCTAAACTGCCAGGGTCACCTGAACCCCTAGACGGTGACCCCTTATTTTCTCTTCCTTCTAACATAGGAAGAATGGGACCCTGTTGAATTATCAGTCTAATGGGAAATGGGGTGAATCTGCAGTGTGGAAAGATGCTGCTTGGCCTGGTACAGGGATATGTAGCACCATGCTGCCAGCAATGATGGGCCTGCAGGTCTGTGCAGACAGCAAATGACACTCTCTTCATTTGATTCTCTTACCTAATGACCTTAAGGGGACCATGAGGCACAGGAGAATCGCCAGTCTGGGAAATCAACAATCTTGTCTCTCCTGGGTCTGAGGACCTCCCTCCATCCATCAGCTAGGTACAGAAGACAAGATCTCTTGGCTGAAAAACGGAGAATCTGAACGTAACACCCATCCCCAGGGAAGGGCTGTTCTCCCTGATAAGCCCCTGAGTAGGGCAGATTCTCTCATCCAGTTCCCAGGCCTGCTGGCTGATGAAGAAGAGAGCAGGCACTCCTTGCAGGTTCTGGGCGAGCGTGCTCAGTGGCAAGCTCACCATAGTCCTGAGCCACAGTGCCATGACTATCTTGCCTCATGAATCAATGCGACAGTTAATTTGGTGTCACTGGCCCTGAGAAGATGAAATATGACCTGATGGCCACTACTCTTCAGTCCATCCCAGCTGTTCAAGAGAATGAACAAGCTCTCGACACTGCCGACACTGCCTCGGAGAGTCCTAATCACGGGAAACATGGCTGGGCTCCTCCCTGCCACATAAATCACACTAAGAAGCACACAATGACCTCTTTCCTGATGGGCCAATTGTCTTGGGTGGTGTCTTTGGTCCCAGAGCTGGGAGGATGGGAGCACAACTGCTTTATTGTAGTAAGGCCATCTGTGAGATTTGAATACAAAGCGCCCCTTTCAGTCTCCTGTGTGTTCTTGGATCCCACTTCTGTGTCTTGGGCTCTGAGCCTTTTGAAGCTCATCCCTCGTAAAGGCTGTCATGCCTGAGTCTATTGGCCATTTAGGAGCTGTAACCACATGGACTTTTGGGGGATGGTGATACTTATTTGTACATGTATTATATTATTGTTGTTGTTACTATTATAATATTTATTTCCCCTCTAACATTTGCCATCAAAGCCCTTACAAATTGTAATAAATTCTGAGGCACCAAAAAGGTTCTCCAAAGTAGAGGTATAGGCAGTATTGCCATGTAGATGCATACCGACAGCGAGAACCCCACAGTGAGCATGTGCTTTGGAGATGGCAGTGGGATTCCTAGCTTTGTCTCCCCTAAACAGACTCATTTTGTGAATGGAAGGGTTCTGAGAAGTTAAATGACTTAATCTGTGGGATGCAGCTGGTGAGAGATCTAAAGATTTGTCCTTTGAGGAGGCAAAGGTGTTTGAGGGACAGAATAAGAAAGGCCATTCATGAGCTTCCAGGAGAGGCAGGAGGCAGTCATGGGTGTCTCAGACATCTTGGCCCACTCCGCTGAGGAAGAGTGCTTCTGGGGCCGACATTATTTGCCACCCAGTAGAGCGTTAGTTTCCCTAAATGGTGGCCCAGGCTGAAAACCAAACCTGTTTCCACAGGGCTTGGCAAAGGCAGAACTAAACTCCTGAGACAGGCCGTCAGGAGGCTCTGGAGTGCTGGTGATGCCCCTTTCCCTTCCAAGTCTGGCTTTCACAGGATCATTGGTCACCATCTTGGGGCTTGACGGTAGAGGAATGAGGCAGAGGCAGGGAGGGGTAGCTTAGGCTCCAGCCAGCTAGTGTGAGCATCGGTGCTGAGGATAGGAGTCTTTAGCCCAGGCCCAGTGGAGGGCAGGAGAGGGCCTCCCGCTGCCAGAATCTGTGCCTGGGTTTTGCTAATCCTGCTGGTTTAAGATGTCAGCCCTAAGTAGCTGGGAATCAAAGGGATCACATTTCAGCCTCCCCGTTCCTCTTCCCTTCCCTCAGTGCTGTTTTCCAGGCTGCCTCCAGCCTTCCCTCCCACTGCTGGGCTGGCCGAAGGCAGGCTGCCTTGTTCTCCAAGTAGCCATCTTTCTTTCCTTCTTCAGCTCTTAAGGCACAGAGAAGGCCCCTCCTCTGTGCCCTGTCTTACCTTTCTTTTTCTTCTAATCTAGTCTCTGAAGAGGGTCACCTGCCATGCACCCAGGTCGAAAGTCTTTGGTTCATGATAGTACTAGATGACCTGCGGAGCACTCATTGTGAGCCTGACCTTCCTTGTCTCCTTTGAGACTCACTAGATCCTGCTGTGGTCTGTTACCCCCTGAGAACTGACTCCCTGCTCTACTCAGTTTACAGATGGAGATGCTGGGTCTTGGAAAAGTTAAGGCTACCTGGTATCACACAGCAAACGTGGGCAGCCCTGCTCAGAGGATCCGCCACAGTTACTTGCCTCTACTGTCTTCTTGCAACCACAGACCCACAGTTGGGAAGGACTGGCAGGGCTGGGCAGTCACAGTCTTGTCTAAAGGCCATCCCGTCATCCGCAGCGGATAGCCTGGGTCACAGCTTGGCTCTCCAGGTTCTCCTGGCTACGTGGGTGGGAACGTCCTTTCCTCCCAAAAGACCTTGTGCCTTTCCATGGGCAGTCTGTTCCTGGACGGATGGCTGCAGTCCCCGGGAGACAATCATGGCTTAGCATCTCTTTTAAGACGTATGCCTCGGAGGCCATCTCCCGCCCATGCTGTGCTAGCCAGAGGAGTGTGTTCACCCTTAGTATGGTGTGGTGTGCTAGCTCTGCCTCACTTGCAAGCCTGCAAGCTCCTTGGGAGCAATGGAGGCCATAGCTTAGTTCATCTTCTGTTGTTGGCTGGTTCCTAGGAGATGCTCATTAGATGGCAGAGAACTGAGTTTAGCTGTTCAGTGGGACCCTCCTTCTATTCTAGAATGGAGACGAGGGCACTCAGGGAAGTGACCTCTGTGCGCAGGGTCACGAGCCAACCAGAGTTAGGGCCCTGTGGCCAGAGCTGAGGCTCTGGCTCGGGTTCGTGTTCCAGCCCCACAGCTTAGCAGATACCCGCAGCCCACATCCCCACTGCGTCCATGAGGCAAGCTGACCGGTTTGCATCAGAGAGGAGGGTTAAACCCTATCCCCATGCTCACACAGGCATCCCCAGAGGAAAGAAAGCTTGATCAGAACTGCTTCTGGGAAAAAAACCAAAGTAGGATTCAGACGTCCTGGACCTGAATAACGACTTATCTAGTACCTACTGTGTGACCTTGGACAAATCACTTTATATCTCCGATCAGCAGTTTCCTTACTTACGGAAACAAAACAAAACAAAACAAAAAAACCGAGGAAGCTGAATACAGGTGATCTCCAAGGTCCACCAGAATGCAGACTCACCATAATGACTGTCGTAGAGTAGTTAGGCCCTTCAAAAAAGCAGGAACCAATTCAGTTTCCTTATCACAGTCACTGTTCCTGTGACACTAAGTTTACAGAGGGAAGGATGGGCAGTAGTCAGCACCTCAGGACTCTGGGAACAGGTTAAAGGAAGAAGGAAGGCAGCTATCTCAGGCATGGCCTTGAACTAGGAGAGCATGGGTGTGGTGATATGCGAGCTATGGGCATGGTCCATAGTCTTCACTCCCTCATGGCACAGACAGTGCTATACAGCTCGTACCAGGAGAGGTTCTAATTACAGACACCTCTGTGAGAAGGCCTTGCCTGCTTCCTCTCCATCCCAAGGTTCCTCTGCCAGGCCGCCCTGGATGGCAGTTCCCTTTGTCTCCCAACCAGTTTCCTCTCTGTCCTTCACCGTGCTCAGCATTCCCCGGACTCTGGCTGGCCCTCACATGTGTCTGTGTGTGCACATGCCTTCAGCCAGCCCTCCTGCCGTGAGCCTCATGTTCCCTTTCCGGGAGAGCTGCTGGTGATCAGTCTGCCCCTCTCAGTTTCCGGTGCCTTCCGCATACCTTTTCACACGCGTCTTTCCACTGCAGTTAATATCGGCCATTCAGACAAGGCAACCCAAGACACATTTTCTATAGAGGGCTCTTATTGCCATTATTGCAAGGAAGCAGTATTCTAGTGGTCTGCCTGGTTGGGACATTAAGGGTTGTCTACGATAGCCTAGGAGGTGGACCGCCACTTATGGCAATCGCCTATGGGAAAATGCATTCTGAGACTCACATTCAACTCCCAGAAGTCTTTGGGAATATAATCCAACACATGTATCTTAAAGTGGAGACTATAGTATGTACACTGAGTAACTGAGAGTTTGGTCAAACTGTAGAATGTGGAGCTGAAAGCCTCCCTTGTCCCCCAGGGAGATCAACAGTTTAAGGAGCCGGTTTGTAGGGAACAGGACCAGGATAGAGGCTATGAGTTGGTGGCTTGAAGGTCTGCCAGAGGGGTACAGATGGTCTTAGAAAGCAGTGCTCTTCTCACTGAGCAGCTACGCTCTCATTAGGAAGCCCCCAACCTGGGATACGATGGAAACTGAGTAACGAGCCCTCACGGTGACGGGCTGACGACAGCATGGGGCATTATCAGGTCAGCAGGCATGTCCACAAATTCTGGGCACGTTCTGGCTGGAAGGGAATGAATGGGCTGCTGTGTTTTACCTGGAGCTGGGCCTTGTGGAGTACGGGGATTGAGGGGAGTGGCTGACGGAGACACTCTGCTTCCTGTGGCCTGTTCTAAAAATAGCAGTTACTGAGGGGAAGAGGAGGGGGCTCCTGGGGAGCTGGGTGGGGATGCCTCGCCCCTTCCTCTTCCTGTCAGGCCCTCTGTGAGGACATCCTACAGGTTCACAGAATTTGGATCTAGGAAGGTCCTGGAGGCCTGGAGCTGAAAAAGGACTGCTCTGCAGTCATCAGGTCTGGGACAAGGTTCCAGAAAGTGGCTCGTTTCCTTCCTGCTCTTTCACAGGGCCACTTCAGGTCTCCAGAGGCCTCTCTTGCGGCCTTGGGTGCTCCGGGCCTGGGAGCTCCTGGGACCGGATGCGGTCTGCCTTCCTGAGCGCTGCCTGCCAGGCGAGGAGTCCCTTGGCTGGTACGCCCTGGTCCCTGACCTCAGCTGGCTGGCCCTGAGCGCCTTGCCGTCCCCTCATTGGTGTGTGTCCCTTCCTTACTGTCCCCTCTTGTCACTTCCTGCACCGTCTTCAGACAGACAGCCTGGAGGAGAGAGAGCCTCACGGCCCTCGCACCTTCTCTGCCCTTCCAGGGACAGTCAGGGCAGCTGAGGGACCTGTAGGACTGCAAAATGAGGCAAGATCCTGCGTAGCCTGCATCCACTCTGTCCTGTGGTGATGGGAGGGCATGCAGGACATCCCTTACAGCACCTGACAAGAAGCAGGTTCCCAGTAAGAAAAGCAAACATGGAGAAGATTAGTAGTGATGGACTCTCCATGACCCTCTACCACAGCAGAATAGCAAGGTTATTATTTGGTGCAGTTGATTTTGTTGTCGTGAAGAATTGTAATTCCTGTGATTGATGTTTTTTGTGGAGAAGACATTTAATACAGATGAACCAGGAAAAAACAAGGATCACCCTTTGTTGTGCCCACTGTCAACTGTTATTAACATTCTGTTTCCCACACAAGTTTCTTGTTTGAAAGTTAGGGTTACTTCCGGGTACAGTTTTTAAATCTGCTTTTTCCCATTTAACAGTGTAGCGTAGCCACTTTTCTTGCTAATACTTGATGTTCTACAACACCACTTTTAGAATTTTTCATTTTGTAGGTGAAACCTGAAATATTTGAACCATCTTTGAGAGTTAGGTGCTCGGGTCATTTTGAGTCTGTACTGGCTACAAAACCCTGTGATAAAATCCTTAGGAATAAATCTTGGAATCCTCCAGGACCCATTTCATGCCTTAGTATATTGTTTGACTCTCAATAAATATTTATTGACAAAGATTTTGTTGGAATTAATTTGGGGCAGTAGGATTTCTGGGTCAATGGG